AGATACTCTTAAAATCTCTTCAATTTCTTTCATGCTGAGGGAGAATTTAATTTATTTTTTTTTGTCTCGGATGTGTAAAGCCATGGGAAGCCTGTGTGTGTGGTGGACTATTTTCATGGACTGTTCTATCGCTGCTTGAAATGCGTTTGAAGACCTCAATGGAAAAGTTACGAGAGTCACAAACTGGAAATTATTGACTCTGGTAATTGTCATTAGCATTGCACTTGTTCCACAGTTGACTCTTAAAAACTTTCATGCTGAACAGTGGGCTCAGTCCTGAGTTGGAGACACGTTGTAAACGAGGCTGGAATAGAAAAGGTATCAAAATCAAAGTGCAAGGTGTTTGGAACTTTGTTTTTGACTTTAAAATTTGATTTCCCAAAAACCTGAAAATCTGACTTTGATTATTATTCCAATGTGGTCTTCATTTCACCTCTGCATATATATATAAATTGTATATGCCTGCTTGGTGTATCACTTGAAGTGTATGGAGATCTTCTCTGTAATTTATTTTTCTTATAGATCTGATAATGAGTGTGGTTGGAAAGGGGGGGGGGGGCGCTGACCCTACCTTTCTCTGTCTTTCTTTTCGTGCAGGTGTTTTCTCAAAATGGTTTATTGCCCGAGGATCATTATCGTCGATTCAATTGTTATTGGTCTACACACAAAATTTGCATTGGGAGTTCAGTGCTATGTAAAGACTTTTTTTCACTACTTTGACACTATTGACACACTCTTTTTTTCAACTGGCACGCTCATAGTGACTACACGTGTCGCTCTGCAATACCAATAAGTCAGCGTGTGTATCTTTGTATGTTGAAGAATGTTCTTTGCATGAAATGTCCAGTGCAAATTTCATGTGTTGAAGTTTTGAATCTTACCTTTTTGTGATTTTCTCTCAACAGCTTCATTAGTTCATTCATTATTATTGGTCAAGATGTTAGTCTCTATCTGCTGGCAGCTGATGTGACTATTTCCAAGTGCTGTGAACTTTAACTGATTCCATCCATTCGGCCGCTGACAGCGGCTCTGAGTTTTTCCGCTGCATCCATACGACCGCTGTGAGCGAAATCCGAAACAAATGTGCACTTTTTAACACAGTTCCGACTTTTTAAGTTGTCGAAAGGAAGTAGAACTTGTAAACAAACCTGACCTCAATCTCTGAGCGCCAATATCGATCGAAACTCCGCGAAATTCTTGCAAAAATCGTTAGTTTTGTTGTCGTGATGTAGGCTAGATCTAAGGGTAAACAACACGGGGCCTGGTATAATAAAAAGGCCCTTCAAAGAAAGATATTCAACTAAATTTGTGAAATTCTTGCATAAATGTGTGCTAGGGTGATATCGCTACAATGTTGTGTTGATTCCAATGGATTATTAGGACTTGTAGAGCTGAGAAAATGCGGTAATTCGAAATTTTCGAAGAGCTGTTGCGCAATTTTTTTTTCTCATTCGTTTTTGTCTGAAGGAAAATGCAGTACAAACAGATTATAGGTCATAGTTATTGATATAAACACATTCCTCTATTTATTCCCATCAGTTAGGTATATGACAATACCTATTAGTATTAGAGTGACTTACAGCTTCACAGTAATGCATTAAATAGATGCACCCCAGGTCTAAAACTGAACAGGGAAAAATAATTATGTCTAGAGCCTGAAAAAATCATGGACGGAATCAGTTAATGTACTGAGGTCATTGTGTGAATTAATGATGTTTTGACCCCAGGCCCACCTATCTGCTTATCAAATTGCGAATCTTCCACCAGAAATCTATAAGATGGTGCTGTGGGTCTTGTTTTTTGTGGGTAGGTTTTTCTTTATCTCTACAATGTTTGGTTACAATCTTATAACATTTGGGGAAATTTCTTTATTGATTTTTCTGGTGGCTTACAAAGTTTTTAAAGTTTTGTCTATTTTGTGGAAGATCTTTAAGGACACTGCAGATTTTTCGTCTTCTTCAAGAGCAAGATCTGAAACTGACATTTCCGTTTCGTTAGCCTATTCTCTGTTGTAGATTACTCAGTAACAAATATTTTTTTAGACATCTTTCATTGTGAATCTTTCCTTAACAAGGTTGTGGGAATAACAGTCTAAACTAAATGTCACATAAAAGTCTAATTTGAACAGCTTTACAGCGTTTTGAGAAATCTTTTATTGAGAAGTTTCCTAATCAAGATTACAAGAATAACAATCTAAATCAATTAAATGTCAAATTATAACAATCTTGTTTACATTTACAGTGTTTTTGAGAAATCTTTTATGGAGAATCTTTCTTTAGCAAGATTGTAGGAATAAGTTTAAATGGTACATAACAATCAGATTTTTACAATTTTACAGCATTTAAAAAAATCTTTCTTTGTGACTGTCCTTATCAAATAAGTTGCCTCCGATATTTTGACCATTATTTGCCTGATGTGAAGACATTATGTTTTTATGTTTTCTAGAAAGCATTTGATTGTTTTACTCAATTTTTTTCTTAACCTGTGAAGGAGCTTGGTTGTGAATATTAAAAACTATTCCTTAATATCACTTTTGGTTTTTTTATTTTGTCTTTATTTGCTTCAATCCCTATGCCAGTAATGTGGCCAAAATCTGTCAAAATACAGTCGAGCCTGCCATGATGGCCAACTGTATAATACGCCCACCTGTACAAACGGCCACTTTCCATTCCCCCCCCCCCCCTTGCAATTTTTTAATATAATTTAATTACATGTATGTAAAACGGTCAGCTGTCCAACGCGGCCACCTTATTTTATCTACCCATGGTCAAATTTACCTATCTACCTGTCTTACACGGCCACTTTTCTCCTTGACAATGGGTGGCCGTTTTACACAGGTTGGACTGAACAAAGGTCTGAAAGAGTTAACTTGCCAGCGCACAGACCAAGTGGGGAAATGTTTTATCATAAATTTAAAAATATTTAAAAATTACACTTTTATTTGTCCCAGAAGGGCACTTTGGTTTACAATGGCAAACATACATACATAAATACATAATTATAAATATGTGCATACATACATACACAAATACACAATATTGCACAGATACAAAAAATTTTACAACCATACCACTGTCGGTCGCCACTGTGCAGCACCCTGTATTTAGAGCTAGGGTTGTCGTGTCTTGCTCAAGGACACACCCCACTGACCACCAATCTGATCCCTGTGTCACCGACACTTGCTTGACATTACTTGAGTCTAAACTCACTACTGACCTAGCATAATCTATCTGTTTCTGACGGATAGGCTGCCCTACACACAGACCAGCAGGGAAATGTGTAATCGATTCATAATCTGTCTGTTTCTGACCACACACAGACTACCCCCCCCACAGGGCAGTGCTACTAAAGATGGTTTACCCTACTGTAGGGTTTAGTATCTTTGATGCTATTGACTGAAGTGTCTTTAGGTCACTCCCAAAGGGGGGATATTAACATGTTCTTGTCTTATGCACAGTAGAATTGTAAATGGGCTGATTTATCAATGTCATGCTCATACTGTGCCGAAACAACATAGGGGGAACTACTGCTTTTTCTTTCCTCATCCTTGCTATCATCATTTTTCCTCTACTTTTTTTGTATGTTTGTCACTCTCTTGTCAGCTGCTATTTCCGGGATGCCTTGATAGTATAGTCAAAGCAAACTTTGTGCTGTTGAGTTGCGGCTAAAGAGGTGAGCAGAGTAAGCCTTATTCCCCATTTGGACTTCTCTGTCAACATCCAACCCTTGGCGCTCGTATGACCCTATATGCAGTTGCGAGAGCGTAAAACCTTACTAAAACAAACATAAAACACAGACCAAGTGGGGAAATGTTTCATCATAATCTATCTGTTTCAGACCAAAAGGCTGCCTTTTCACAGATCATGTATGTTTTACATGGGGAAAACGTTTTTCCTACAGACAACGAACATTTTGTGCCTTTTTAACAGTTTTGCTTTTTAGTTTCAGTGAGACTTTTACGGCATTTGCAACACAATAAGGTCATATAAGCGCCGAAGATGAGAGGTGTTACAAGGGAGTAACAAACGCAAAAAAGGAGGGGAGATAGAGAAGACTGATTTTTTATAGGACAGGAGGAGCAAACCACACCAGAGCACCGCCAAAAACTGACTTCTATGTCGACATCCAACCCTTGGTGCTCGTATGACCTATGCAGTTGCGAGCGTGTAAACCCTTACTAAGACAAACATAAAACACTGACCAGGTGCGGATATTAACAGTCTTTGTGCCCATTGGAAACTCGGCCTCAGGAGATGACACACAACTGGAAAAATCAGAGAGCACACACACACTTTCTCCATCTCTCTCTCCCCCCTGTCTTGGTGTGTCCATCGATCTAACTGGGCATACAATACAGAACGCTGTCTGTTGCATGATGTGTGGGCGTAAAAACCACTGCAATACAAAGTTATAAATATATAGGATATATAGGAGACTTTTGCTGCACTGTGTTACCTTGTTTCTCAGATATTGACTGAAAAATTCCATTCCAATCTGTCCGTTTCCGTGGTCTTTGGGCAGGCAACCTAAAGTTTCATTGGCCTGAAAGAGTTAAGCCTCATTTTCCTGGGTTCTTTAGGTTAGTTTTTACTAACGTTTTACAGCATGTGCATCACAATAAGGTCATATAAGTGCCAAAGATTACAGGAGTTACAAGAAAGAGACAAACACAAAAAAGATGGAGGAGAGATCAGGACGGCAGATTTTGATAAGAAAGAAGGAGCAAACTACACCAGAGCACCCGCCAACCACCTGCTTCCTAGGCTTTTGTTTTGTTTTTTTAGTAAAAGTTTTACGAGGCTTGCAACACAATAAGGTCATATAAGTGCTGAAAATTTCAGGTGTTACAAAAGTGTAACAAACACAAAAAAAGGAGGAGAGATCAGAACGACAGATATTTGATTGGAAAGAAGGAGCAAACACACCAGAGCACCTACAAACCTACCATTTCCTGGGCTTTAAAGGAAAACATTTTTTTACAAATTGAAACAGAAGACTACTGTCATCAATATATTTTTTATTGAACTCATTTACTTCCCGTCAAGTCATAAAAATTTAAGAAATCAAAAGCTGATGATGGTGATACTGGTGATGATGATGATCATGAATCCAACAAAATCAAAGACAGCTATCATCATCATGTTGGTAATGCTCAACAAATTAATGAACGGATGACTGCACAGATCACCAGACACAATTCCATTTTGTCTGAGTCAAAACCAACCAGAAAACACAGAACCAGAAAAGGGTAAAAGTAAAGTTTAGCACCCCTCTCACCCCAGATTTACGCACCATTAAGTCACACAGATTCTGAAATGCGGGGGGGGTTTCTATACATTTCTTTACCCAGAAATGTTTAATTTGTGGCAATAACAATGTGAAAGATCATGCTGAAATACATCAAAACTTTATTTATTGTGAACAAAAACCTTTCATTGCAGGTAAACACAACGAAACATGGTATGATTGCGATTGTTTAAAGCCCCAAATGACACAATTTACATCAATTAGGAGATGGGCTGCTACGATCCTGCCTGTCAGGGCCGATCCGGGCTGAGTGCGATACAAACACATCCCAGCAGACACATAAATCACAGTAACACAACATGGTTTGAACAATACTGAGAACAAAAATATATACAAATCATCATTAAGAGCACATTGTCTCACACAATTCACCATCAAGAGCTCTTTTTTTTTCAACTCAGGCTATGAATCGAAATTAGTTTTCCAATCCACATCTACTGGAAGTAAATTATATTCAAGGACTAACATTGGATTGACAGATGCGTGTTGTGTAAGCACAGGTGGTGTGCTACACGCTCATACACACAGATATTCTTACACAAGACTCCCATTCAAGATGCATTCACATAGACTTGCATATAAAGAATACCAAATATACACACAGACATGGCTATATTCCTTACATAAATTCACATACAAAATGCAGACACAAACATGCACACACATACATACACACACTCTCACATATGCACACACCCAACCACACACAAACACCAACATCAGCTGCTCATGTATATCCTCAGGTCCCGCTAACAAACCAGAGCGAAGAAACGTCCAGTCCAGCCGATGCTCACAAAGGACTTAAAACCGAAGGTGAGGCTTGAACTTCAACATGTACCTGAGGACATAGACAAAATATTCGTTTTGTTTATGGAGGTAAAGAAAAAATCCATCAGCTCAAGTCTTATAGAGCTGGAAAAAAGCAAGACAGACAGGACAGAGGGAAAGAAGAGATGTTGGACTTGCCACTGGTGCCCTCTACCATCTACAGAACAAAACCTTGATTTGTTGTTCATTTGAGAAACAATTGAAACAGCACCAGCACCCGCCATCTCAAGGGAACTTTTATTTTAAAAACAAAAAAAGCAACAAAAAAACCTCTACAAATCAACAACATCAGTTTAGTAAGAGTAAGAGTTTTACAGCACTTGCAACAAAATAAAGTCATATAAGTGCCAAAGATTATAATTTTTATTAATTGAGTAACAAACGCAAAACAGAAGGTTTAGTTTTAGTTTTAGTAGAGGTTTTACAGCGCTTGCAACTGCATAAGGTCATATGAGCGCCAGAAGATTAGAGGTGTTACAAGAGAGTAACAAACATAAAAAAGAAGGGGAGATAAGGACGACAGATGTTGGATAGGAAAGAACAAGCAAACCACACCAGAACACCCGCCAACCACCCACACAGAAGGAGGAGAGATCAGGATGATAGATGTTTCATAAGAAAGAAGGAGCAAACCACACCACAGCACTGGCACAACATCACTACCAACAACAAAATACATATATATATGCTAAATCAGCAAAAACAACGACGACACCACAACCACCACCATGTAGTGGTTCCCAAAACTGCTGTCATTTGACCCTGTCACAACACCAAAAACAATTTTTCGTTTTAATAAGTGTTTTACGGCACTTGCAACGCTATAAGGTCATATAAGTGCCGAAGATTAGAGGTGTTACAAGAGAGCAACAAACACCAAACAAAAGGAGGGGAGATAAAGACGATAGATGTTGGATAGGAAAGAAGAAGAAAACCACACCAGAGCACCCGCCAACCAACCACACAAAAACAATAACAAGACCAATTACAACTACACCTGTAACATTACCACCACCACCAACATCACTACCACTACTACTAAAGACAACATAACCACCACCACCACAAACATTACTATCACCACTATAGACAACATCACTAGTACGATCAAAGACAACATTACCACCACCACCACTACAACCACTAGCACCACAAAAGAAAACATTACCACCAATATAAACATCACTACCACCACTAGCACCACAAAAGACAAAATTACCACCATCAGCACACACTTATGCAAATGTTCCCAACACTGCAGTAATGTGGTCCGTGGGAATCACAACATTACCACCATCACCACCACCACTACCACCACCAAAGACTACATTACCGCCACCACCACTTCCACAAACATCTCTACCACCACAAAAGACAACGTAAATACATTACCACCATCAGCACACACTTATGGAAATGTCCCCAACACTGCTGTAATGTGGTCCGTGGTCATCACAACACTACCACCACCACCACCACCATTAACAAAAACACCACCACCATTAACAAAAACACAACCACAACCACCAACAACAACAAAAACTAGCACAAAGTACTTGTCCAGATGTTCTCACTACTGCTGCAATGTGGCCATCACAACACTACCACCACCAATAACAGCAACAACGCCACCACCACCAATAACAACAACTTAGCACAACATACTTGTCCAGATATTCCCAGCACTGCTGTAACGCTTTCATCACAACATCACTATCACCAATAACAACACAAACAATACCACCACCACCACCAACAACAAAAACTGGCACAACGTACTTGTCCAGATGTTCCCAGAACTGCTGTAGCGTCGCACGGTCCAGATGTCTTCTGTGTCTGTCCAGGCTCATCACATGCACTGACCACTTCTTCACATTACCGTCCAGGGGCAGCTCTGTCCACTTGAGATGGAAGGCTTTGACTGGACGGAAGAGGAAAATCAAATACTGTACATTAAAAAATCATTAAACTAAAAAAAAAAATCTCCCGTTTTCTTTAAACACAAGGAAGACTTATGATTCAAAATACTCCATTTTCTCTCACACAAGAAAAATATATCACTAAAAAAAAAATCCACTTCAGACAAATACGTATACAAAACGTCAAACTAAACAACAGTCAGCATCATGTAGAAGTCTCATACTAGACAAAGCGAAAATAAACCAAACGTAAAGAAAAAAAGCTAACTCTAAATCGTCCATTTTGGGGGTTTGTTTTAGTAAAAATTTTACTGCACTTGCAACACAATTAGATCATACAAATACACAAGATTAGAGGTGTTAACAAACACATAAAAGGAGAACAGATATGGACAATAGATGTTTGATAGGAAAAAAGGAGCAAACCACACTATAGCAGTGGGTGGTTGGTGGGTGCTCTGGCGTGATTTGCTTCTTCTTTCCGATCAAACATCTATCATCCTTATCTCCCCTTCTTCTTTTTTATGTTTGTTACTCTCTTGTAGCACCTCTAATCTCCTGGCGATCATATGACCTTATCCAGTTGCGAGCGCCGTAAAACCTCTACTAAAACTAAAACACTATAGCCCTCCACCAACCACCCGCGTCCATTTTTCATATTAGTTTGAATAGTTTGAGAAAAGTGAAGTACGTTGACATTCAAAGCAAGGAAAAAGGCAAGACCAACAAGCAGAATGTCGGGGGACTTTCTTTTAAAATGCAAAAAAAAAATTCATTATATTGAACTTTTAAAGATGAAGTTTAGTTTAGAAAATTTTGACGAGGTTCCCCGATCCTCAATCACTTATTTGTGTTGGTTCATTAATTTTGCACTTTTAGAATCATCCTAAAGCATCACGGCAAGGGTGATCAGCCAGGGTTCAGTGAGATGAAAGAAACAACCTTGCCCAATTCACACAGGAAACTATGAGGGTCAACTACCACGAAGGAACACACTATTTTGACAATTTTTTTTTTTTCTTTCAGAAATGTGTTCACTGACCTTTTTATGAGAAACGACGATGTGAAATTTGGCGCGTAAAAGGATCTGAAATCTGTTAATCTTTTGAAGTGATACACAGAAAATGTCAAAAAACACAAACTGAAACTGGATCATCACTTACTCTTGGAGAATATTTCCACAGGGTTTCCGTTCCAAGGCCAGCCCTTGAACTGCCAGGCGGGTCCCTGCACAAACACGGCCACTACACGGTCCCTGCACAGGATCACACACAGAGGGAACACAAATTACACATTGTGGGGAAAAAAAGCAAAAGCAAATTCTTGTACAATAAAATTTAATCACTCTTTTTATCCATGCTGGGAATTTAATTAACGATGGCATAAATAATTAATTAAATAAATAAATGAACAAATAAATATTTTTTTTAAAAACAACTTGCTTGAACAGCCACATGCCAAGGCAATCACCTATTCAAGGGCACATGCCAAAGGCCATTATAACTAATGAATACAAAGAAGATGAAGAGAAAAGGGCAACAGGGAGAAAGAAAAGACCAAAGGCGTAATTATGTGTACTCCTCAGAACCACAGCTCTCTCTCAAATAAACTAGAATTTAATACACTTGTGTCCCTAAGAAAGAGAAGTGCCAAGTTTGAGTTTTCAAAGAATAAGAGGAGCACGAGGAGGAGGAGGAGGAGGAGGAGGAGGAGGAGGAGAAAAAAAAGAAGAAGAAGAAGAAGAAGAAGAAGAAGAAGAAGAAGAAGAAGAAGAAGAAAGGGAGGAGGAGGAAAAAAAAAAATCAACAACAAAAACAAGAGACAGTACCAGTCATCTGACGTGAGCTTGAGAGGGTTGTCTATGATGCGGTAGGGCACCGTCTGGCCCGCCTCCTTGCGGCGATGGATGAGAACTTCATTGTCTCTCTTGGCCCCCGCCGCCTTCTTGTCCTCCGTGCTCACAAATCTGAAACAGCAACAGTGGTGGGACATTAGCAAACAGGGATATTAATAATGGCGGGACATTAGCAAACAGGGATATTAATAATGGCGGGACATTAGCAAACAGGGAGATCAACAGTGGTGGGACATTAGCAAACAGGGATATCAACAGTGGTGGGACATTAGTGAACAGGGACATCAACAGTGGTGGGACATTAGCAAACAGGGACATCAACAGGGACATTAGTAGATAGGGGCATCAATAATTGCGGGACAATAGCAGACAGGGACATCAATAATGGTGGGACATTAGCACACAGGGGCATCAACAATGGTGAGATATTCGCGCAGAACATTCAGTTCTAATAGTAAAAGTTTTATGGCACTTCCAACACAATAAGGGCAAAAGATTAGAGGTGTTACAAGAGAGCAAAAAAACATGAAAAAGGAGGAGAGATAAGGAAAATAAACGTTTCATAGGAAAGAAGTAGCAAACCACACCAGAGCACCCTCTAACCACCCAAATATCAACAATGGTGGGACATTAGCGCAGTATGCTCATCAACAGTAGTGAGACATTAGCTCATTATAGACAGGGACTTTTATTGCGGTGGGACATTAGCAGACAGGGACATCAACAGTGGTAAAAAAAAATCAATAGCGACTTTCTTACTTAAGATCCTGCAACACATCCTTTGCATTCAGCATCGTGACCAGCGACGTAGACGCCGCGGGGATGATGATGATGGGAGTCCGTGAACCTACAGACAGGTAAAACAAATATCTTACTGACAATAACAATAACTGATCATTTACATGTATAACACATTTCCCACTGTGACTGCTCAATGCACTTAAAAGGCAAATATTACACCAGCAAACACAGTGTATCATCAATAGCAACAATACATGTACAAACAAAGTCTTTCTCCCCCTACTTTCTCACTCCCATATATATATACATGCACTCACAAACATGTGCATACAGATATCCTTCGATGAACTTCTGAACTGCCCTCACAAACAAAAAATTTGTTTTAGCAACTGTTGAGCCTAAACCACAGAAAGAGTTGAGTGGGTTGGGTTTTTTCTTCAACTAGAAAAAAAACCCAAAAAAACCCAAAACACCCAAGAAAAGTGAACAAGCTAACAGCGTTACCTTTCTTCATGTTGGGCGGCGGCCTGGCCTGTGAGATGGGCCGCGTGGCCGTCTGCTGCACGGGGGCGGGTTGCGGGACTGGCTGTGGCGTGGGCTGGGGCATCTTGCGGGCCTGGGCGCCCTCTGTGAGCGACTTGAGCGTCATACCGTGGAAAGTGCCCATTGTGTTGATATTGAAGCCATCAGTGTCGGGGGCTGAGGACGGAGAGGGAAGTTGGTGAAATGATCAGGGAGGATGTGGGGTTGGTGAAATAATCAACAGAGGAAGGGAGGACGCGGGAGAGGGAAGTTGGTGAATAATGTAAGTCAAATAAAGGGGGTTGTGGAGGAGAGAGAGAAAGAGAGAGAGAGAGAGAGAGAGAGAGAGAGAGAGAGAGAGAGACAGACAGACAGACAGACAGACAGACAGACAGACAGACAGAGAGGAGAGAAAGAGCAAATGCAAAAGAGAAAAGAGTTATTCATGATCTTCATGTAATTCCCATGAGTCATTCATAGAATCTCTCACCTCCTTTTCCCTTGTACCTCTCCTGATCGTATCTGTTGTAGCTGCTGATCACCTGAGGCTGCCTTGGCTGGGACTGGAACAGAACAAACCTTTTCCTCACCAAAATGTATCTATCACCGGAAATGACAGGCAGAGAAATCATATTCCCTTCATACAAGCAGGGATCACCACTTAAACCTTTAGAAACTACCCCACATCTATTTCATCTACAGTATAAATGCTATTTAAACCTTAAAGGCCCCCCCCCCCCCTGACCAATTCCCAATTATTCTATCAACAATCTAAGCTACTTATTCCTTTGCAGCTTTGAAGGAGTCTCCCCCCCCCCCCTACAAGCTAATCAATCAACAATCTAAACAAATCCAATAATTAAAATTTTGAGATCAAACTCCCTCACTACACCTACAAAATCTGTACATAAAACATAAAAGATCCTGTGCATTGACTACTAGATATTTACACCACTGTATCCTAAGGCGTGACTTCAGCACACCGAAGGGTAAAGATAATCATATTGAGACGTGCACTCCAGTCATCACGTTTAAAGTACTGACACTGTGGTGTGCGCTTTTATGGACGAAAGTAGTCACACTTCAGCAGACATGTGCTCATGTTCATTCCGTTAAGGCACTAAAGACCAAAATCCTCATGCTGCTAATCTTTAACATCTCTAAAAAATAAGGGGGAAAAATTACTTCCGCCAGAAGACTAATCTTCTTCTTCATTTCCAAGTGCCAGATGCTGAAACTGACATTGCAAATCCTTTCTTTCTACTGGTAAATCGGTTAAAACAAATAATAATAATAATAATAATAATAATGTAGATCATTTCTATAGCGCCCACTCCCATTTGAACACAGCTCTAAGCGCTTTACATAAATGCATGTACGAACAATATTCGCGCATGCACACATACACACACACACACACGAGACACACACTCACGTACACATTAAACAATAAACAAGACATGTAGACACGACTCACCACAGATGCTGTGATAGGGTTCTGTGAGCTGCCGTGAGAGCGCTGAGAGCCTTCCTCGCGGGCTTTGATAGACTGGAGGATGCTGAAGATGTTCTTAGCAAATTGCTAGACAAAGGGGAAGGAGAGAAGGGGAAGAACAATTTAGGTTAGTCGGATGGATAGTATAACATTGACACAATAATACCAGCTTTTAAGTGCATGGACACACAAACACAAACAACAGAGGAAAACTCCTCTGAAATGGAAAGAGTAAGCACTTATTTCCACCAACAACAAAAAAAGGGAGAAAAAAAAATTACCTGGATTTTTTTGAACTAAGAAAGAAAGAACATACTTCTTCAATATTCCCAACCCCGCCTTCAACCTATAACATTTACGATTCACCGGTCTAGAACAATTGTGGAAACCGTTCTAACATGGAAAGAGTTTGAATTTTTTATAAAAATAATTAATTTTTAAAGAAAAAGAAAGGATGAAAGTAAAATAAAACAGAGTCAAGAACAGAAAAGAAAGCACATACTTTCCCAACACTCTGCAGCACTGTGGTCCTTGTCCTCCATAATCTCTCTCTGCTGACAATGTCCCGAGTCACGTCCACCTCTGCGTCCACAAATGTCCTCTGTTCCATGGTGCCAGCCTGAAGGTCATCGTCCCCCTTGATTTTGGTACGCCTCAAGGCCAAAATCTTGGCCTTCAAAGCTGCGATTTTCTCCATGGGCATGGCTTCATGCAGGGAAGACGTTCTAAAGTACAAGAAAAAACCACAATATCTTAGCACATGTCAACTTTTGTTTCATTTCATGAGAACTTTAAAAAAAATATTCACGAACAAATGAAAATTTCAGCTCAAACTAATTTTTTCAAAATAACTATATCAACTAACCTTTTGGATTTATTTGAAAACAAAAGAACATCTTTGAACGAGTTTAATTTCTAAAAAGGATTCAAAGGTAACTTTATTCAATGCCTCGATAAAATGACCTTGCTTGCTAGTGTGAAGAGAAGTACATCAACACAAACATAGTCATCTATGGCTGGGAAAAAGCAAGGCGAACAGACAAACAGAAAATTATGAACTACAAATAGTGCTCTCCAACCACTCACAGTGGAAGGATCGACAATACAACCACTACAACTATAAAAACAATGACAAAAATTATAACAAAGTGGAAGCTGATGCTATAAATCTCAAGCAGAGGGATCGTACCCCGGTAAGGGAAGCACAGAAGACTCGCGGCCTCCGTCAATCTTGTTGATCCAGTTCAACTTGTCCATTTGGACTTGCGGGTCCTGTGTGTGTGGTGGTGGTGGTGAGGGGGGGGAGAAAATAATGAATAATCAAGACATACAAAAATAACACACTGTCTTGCATGCACATAGCAAAATCGACGGTACAGAGAAATCATTCCACTATGTTCAAATTTCAGGATATATCAAGGGATATTAACAAAGTTAAAAGGGTAAAACAGGGTAAAAGTTTACACAAATAGGCCTCCTATGCCTCATCAACTTGCGTGTTGGGTCCATTGTCACTTAAATGTTTTGCAAATTAATTTCTTATCCACCTCTGCCAGGATCAGCTGTTTTTCCTTGCCTGAGAAGTCTGGCAGCAAACACATAAAAGAGGGCTTAAGTGAAAAGTCAATTTCTCATTAGCATTGCGAATGAGTCAATAGTAATATAATTACAACAGTGAAAGAATTATAATGAATAACATGTAAGTCAAATTGACATAGCCTGTCAGCAAAGCTTTTATTAAAGTAAAAAAAAATAATAGTCAACACAACAAAAAAAGCACACATACCAAATGAACAACCACAAAAAAGCCCACTAACCTCCAATCTTGGCTTCTTTTTCTCACTTTCACCCCCAGCATCTTCAGCAGTTCTTTTGACTGGAAATAAAGAAAGAAGGAACAATATAAGCAACATTGTCGTGGTTTACACATAGTAAAAAGTGAATCGGCCGTCACTTTAAGAGGCCACATTACATCATACACTGACCAGGACTTAACTAGTTCAGACCACACCAAAGTGATCTCATTAACTGCTGGAATTCAGATCAGGCACTTGAAGAAGAACGAGTGCATATAAGAAAGTGGAGTGACAACCCATACATGATGGAAAAAGCAACAGCATCCACAACAAACATTTCTGTTGTGTTCAGTTATTATTTTAAAAAATAAACACCAACCCCCCCCAAACCACTTACTTTGTGTGGGTCTCTGTGAGATTTCAAGGGGAGCACTTTTGTCGATGCTGCTCGCTGTGGCCGTCTCTCCATTCAGGTAAGCCAACAAATCTTTCCGGTCTGGACGACGAACCACGCTGATGTCTGCAGCCTGAAGGAACAGCACAAACATGCACCATGAATTTAGTATTGAAACATGCTCATTTACACCAATGATTAAAGTTGAGCACAGCCCACCATTTTAATATACTTAACCTACATTTACAGCAATTCAATTGAATATATTGTAGCTGGGTTCTAGTTTTCGTCAAGTCAGCATCATAAATATCACATTACTCCAGGATTATGTTACAGAAAAGTCAAAAGAATTAGAAGGAGCAGACCATTCAAAAGCTTTAATAAAAACCCTCAGCTTGCCAACCCCTCCTTTAACTTCAAAATTATATACAGTCGAACCTGTGTAAGACGGCCACCCATTGTCAAGGAGAAAAGTGGCCGTATAAGACAGGTGGCTGTCTTAGGCAGAACTGATCAAGATGAAGAAAACAAGCCATTCCTTTCTGAGGTCCCAACCTAAGGTAGTCGCATTTTAGTTGTTGTTGTACGAAATGTGTCAGACAAGGAGGACCGAGTGCTATGGTAAAACAAACACATGGGGTCGCCACCACTCAAAGAACGAGCGACACTTCTGTCACAAGTTCATGTTGATGTCCATTGCTACTTTGTTACAGACTGGGTAAACAGTGACCACTCATCTCACTTACGATTTGTGTACGAGTTCTGGGCGGGGCTTATGGGTTATGAGGGATCACACGCTTACCTCACCAGCAGCTGAAAATTTGTTACCTATTGGTCGTGGGTGGTTGGCGGGTGCTCTGGTGTGGTTTGCTCCTTCTTTCCTATCGAACATCTATCATCCTTATCTCCCCTTCTTCTTTTTTGTGTTTGTTACTCTCTTGTAACACCTCTAATCTTCTGGCAGTCATATGACCTTATGCAGTTGCGAGCACCGTAAAACCTCTACTAAAACTAAACTACTTATTGGTCAACAGTGGGAGGGGCCTATGCAACATGATCGGTTGGAGGGACTACCTAACAACAAACAGATGATTGGATTATGACGGCTCGCCCACAACACCAGGGGCCAATGCACAATTTATGACAAAACGTAATGGAGTCACTAAGGTGGCCGTTTAAGACAGGTGTTATTACTTGGAGTTATAGGGGCTGTGTGTTAAAATATGGTGGCCGCGGCCGCGTTGGACAGGTGCCCGTTTTACACAGTTAAATAGAAAAAACGCAAGGGGGGAAATGGAAAGTGGTCGTTTGTACAGGTGGCTGTCTTATATAGAGGTGGCCGTCAGGGCAGGTTCGACTGTAATTAATATCATTTAGTTGTTTGGACAATAAATACTTACGACAGCTTCTCGGACATAGAGAGGATGCTGCAACTGGACATTGCGAAGAAGGAAAAGAATTGAGTCTAAAGTGTAGTACTCCTTTGCCACACCGTCTTTGCCAGTCCTGAAAACAAAAGTTCAGCTGTTATCTACAGGACTAACTACATTCATACATGATCATGATGACAATGATGCTAACAAAACAACCTTACCTTTCTACTGCTACTCCTTGGCTCCTTCTTATTGCTGTCTTTCAGCAACACCCTGATCTTATGGTAGGTAAGATCTACACGTAACCTTCTCAGGGTGAAAAATCTCTAAGGTCCCGTACAAGTTACACATATTAGAGAACCCTTGGCACTCCAAAATTGATAAGAGTAGGCTTCGGCCGCAATCCACACAAAACTTAAAATATCCTACCCACTGAAAATGTTTAATGTGTCCCGTGTGCTCATATATGACCTTATCGAGCGCCATAAAACACTTACCACAAAATTAATTTTTTTAAAGTATTAGAAGTAGAAGAGAAAATTAAATGAAATCCTACACAAGTTTGATATTGAGAGTACATTTCCATTACATAACTTTCTACAAAAGCTTCTAGACTTGAATTAAAAAATTTTAAATAACAAGACTGATTTATTCACACAACACAGCCTTCAATAATCATAACCGAATTAGGAACCATGACTTGGCTTTTACTACCATGATGAGGAAATAAACATTGGTAAAGATATATTAAGGCTACTAAGTGTTTTGTATTTGTAGGGGTAGCAAAAATGTTCCAATCAAACTCGAAGCACATTTTAACCCTCGTCCTACGGGGGGACGGGTTTATGTCGCCCGATGAGCCTATTTCGGCACCTCGCCTGCGTTCTGGTCCCTCGTCAGTCTGGCCCCTGGCTCAGCGCACGTGCGCCGAGCATTATAATCTCTCGTTCAATGCAGGTCCCGCGTCGGATCCACATTCACGCAGCTCAAGTGTATGTGTGTCAGCCTGCTTGAGTTTGTGTGCATTTTGGCCTTCTTCTAGAACCGCCTGCGTTGGTTCGTAACCGAGGCATACATCTCATTCAAAACACGCCAAGTTGGTAGCTCTAGATGTTCGTTCTAATGAAATTATAGATCAAATTGACCCAATTTTTCTTTACAAAATCTTTCAAATGAGCTTGATTTTGTATGAAATGGTGCTACCTGATAAAAAATAAGTTTGTTTGATAATTTTGAATACCATTGTGCAGGTACAAAGAACAATTTGAGTGCAAAACATTCGGAAATTGAACAATATTATCCCCTTTCGAACCCCAGGTCATTCATAACAATAAGAGCGTCTAGAAAGGTTATTCGAATGGGCGTAACTACTCATAATGTCTTATCAGCTTATGAGAAGGGGTTATTTCATGTGTTAGTAGTAACACTTTATCAATAGAAAGGAAAGCTATGAAAGATAGAGCGTTATTTTCATCATCGATTAACACACTCCCACGGTATTCATGGGAAAAACACACATTTCCAGGCATGCGCACAGTACACCAACAGTACACACTGAGTGACCCCAGCGGCCTGCCCGGAACGTCCGACGTAAGCGGTTGCTGATAAGATTCATATCTCAGCACAGATGCAGGACAAGAGTTAATCTGCTTCCTGCACATTTAATGTATTTCTTTCCCTCTGCCTCAATGGCTCAATTTTGTTTGGATTTTTTTTTCTCAGTCCTTTGAAATGTGAGTGCCATCAATATAAGTTGCCATAAAAATAACTAGAAATCTAGATATCTCTAGATCTAGATTCTAGGTCCTATTGTTATTGTAGTTGTACTGTGACCTACACTCTCACTCAGTACACAGGCTGACTCAGCTGAGCCTCTCTGGGTCTAACCTAGAATCTATGCCCCTCATTGCCCTCAAGTTCAAGGTGAGGTAAGGAGAAGAGCACGAAAAGAGACCTGAAGACAGATCGGCGCTTTTTCGGTAGTTCCCACCCCGCAATTTTATTCACGGGTTTGAGCCACAAGAGTAGGGGGGTTTCAGGGGGGCATGCCCCCCTGAATTTTACCATAATTTAATGTTTTGCAGTTGTTAGGTTTGATATCTTAGCTCACCGCGAATCAAACGTATAGATCTAGATCTAGATCTAGATGTAGGTCAGGCTCAAATAAGGGGGGTGGGAACTACCGAAAAAGCACCGACAGATCATACTACAATTATAAGCCTACAACTCAAGACTCAAGGACATACACTTTATTAAGTTAATGTCTTTTTTACTAGATCTATATAGATCTGGATTCTACTCTTTACTGACACCTACAACTTACACCATTTAGTGATTTATACAGAATACACCCAAAATACAGGCACAGGTCATTTCTTCACTCATTCAAAACCGAAGCTGATGCTGCATTAGAAAAGGCTATATTTTCCTTTTATTTGTGTCTATCCAGTACTCTACATTTGACTGATCTATCACATCTGACTGTTCAATTCCGTTGGAGTCTCAGTAAACAGGAAAATACTTTTTCAAAGTCAAAGTCAACATTCGAGAAAGTCGGCGGTGTGTTTAGTTTGGGGCCAGTCAAACATTATCGATAATAGGTGTTGCAAGATCGCAATTACTTTGACAGCTCTGGTGTACTTACCCCCACATGACATAATTTGTCTTGGCATTTTTCGGCCAAGCAAATTCGCCGAATATGATCTGATCATCTTTCTCGACGATCTCCTTACTGTTGGTGTTGTACTGACGGAGAATACTAAGCACATCCGCCATCTCTGTACTCTCAGTTTACCTTGGGTTGCAGCAAACTGCGCAAACGGCAAACACTGAGGGGGGTTGGCTAAAAATTAAAAATAGAACTAACAACAACAATAATCCAGAGCTAACCCAGTTTGATACTGCTGGTAACTGGTAGGCCAGCTACATCATCAGACTGCTGGCAGACATTGAAATCACAGAATTCTGTGGTTGAAATGAGTCTCTGCTTGACCGTTCCTAACATTGTCTTTTTTCCATAATTAATAATTACAATGTATTAGAATTATTTGGTAAGTGATTTGTGATGTGATTATTCTTGTGGCAAGGAATTCTGTATCATGCGACCACTATGAAAGTAATGAATGGAGGGTCAGGGTTTCGGGTTGGGGTAGCCTACCCCGGTCCGGTAGGGTAGGGGTACCGTGGTACGGTTAAGGGGAAGGACTTCCGTAACGAGCAACCACCCCAACAAAGTTACAAACACAATAAAGATTAAAGAAGATACCTAAACCCTAACCTGGTAAGAATGTACTTTACCGGACGACCGGTCGGAACTGCTTTCGCTATGGCGGCCCTGGTGCCTTGTGGCTTGTGGCCCGCTAATCGCTAATCTTCCTTTCCAAACAGATGTGATTAAACTTAGAAGGACGCAAACTATTTTTAGCTAAGGCGCCCATCTTGTTTGACGTCAGACCAGGCTACCCCTCCAATCACGTGACTACATCTAAGTGTAGCCAACCGCATGGCACCAAAGATGGAAGTGTCTATGTAGATCTTCTATATAATCAAGCTTCATCTACCTCTTGGTCTTGGTGTCAGAAGTTCTGATGGCCGAATAGACTGCGTTTGAAGTCATGCAATGATTTTATGAGCGGTTCGATCCCGATCCCGGACAGGTGTTTTTTTCTCTTCTCCTCCTCCCGACTGACCAACAGTTTCTCCCATAAATTATAATTTGTTGCTTTTTGTAGTTTTTTTTAGTTTTTTATTTAACGCTCCGTTTATTTAATGTATATTAGTGATGAAGAATGCAGGAGGGGGGGTGTAGATCTAGATATCTAATCCTCCAGCGTCTTTACGGCAATTTTCGTGCGGTTTATTGTGTTTGCATTTACCGTGTTTCAATTTCTTCAAGCATCAGCGTTCTTAATCTTACTGTTCTGAGCATCAACGATCTAGATCTAGATTCTAGATATCTAATCTACGTGATCTTCCATCATTTCCAAGTACTAGATCTAGATCTTCCGAAATGTTACAGAAAACACATCATTCCATGCGGTACCTCCACGGAGTCTGTGGGTATCCCAGGAAGTGATGACATCACATTATACTAAAATTAGCAGCCAATCAGAAAGATGTATATCTTTACGTTTAACGGCATCTTTTCCAAACTCCCCTACTCACTCTTCTACTCAGTCTTCTACGTCCTCATCCTTCGACTGCCAGCATCCGACTGACGTCTCTTACCAGGTTTTTCAGTCATCACGACCATGCCACCGTGCCCTTTGACCTACGACCCTGACACCCATGAGGCTAATTGGTCAATCTAATCACGTAGTCCACTATTCTTATTTGCTCCAAAGAGGTAAAAGATGCTTGATTTGCTCGTGACTCTGCTAGGCTAGGCCTACTCCTGGTCCGGCAAAGTACAGTGTTTATATGTGGTGTGTGTGTTTTTTAAAAATTATTTTTGCCAGGGGGGCTAGCCCCTGAAACCCCCCACTGTTGTTATGTTGATGTAGACACGATTGTCCGCTCATGTTATTGTTTTTGCATTTTTGTGTGTTTTCTTTATTATTTTGTTTCCAAGCCCCCCTGAACGCCCCCCCCCCCCCCTCCCCCACTATTGTTGTTATGATACACAGTGGTCCACCAAAGTTAAATCCCCTACCCACCCTCAACCACCACCTCTTGCTCACCTCGCCTCACCGCTGGCTTGGGCTGTTCGTTCGCGAAGTCGCCCACGGAGCTACCTTTTGTGCACACATAGAGAACTATGAGTGCGTAGTTAGGCTAGGCGTGCGTAGTAATCACAACCCCTAACCCTACCCCAAACCCTTACCCTAACCCTGACCCTCTATTCTACTCTGTTTCTAGTGGTCACTCGTTACGGAATTCCTCCCAGGGTAGGGTTTTGGTTTGGGGTAGGGGTTGGGTCAGGGTTAGTAGGGTTCTAGGTCTCTTCTAATTGTGTTTGTTGGGGTGGTCATTTATTACAGAAGTCCTTCCTTTGTGTGATTTAGGGCCTATCTGATCTTTTCTTTTGGGTCTACCATTAACGCTTACTTTCACAGAGCAATATCTCCAAAGTTGAGAATCTTTGATTACTAACTAAGCCTTTACCAAATAGTAATAATTATATTAATAATAGGCTGGGCAGTTGCTATGTTTCCGATCCAACCAATTAATTTAGGCCGACTCCAACTCTATGTCATACCGGTAATGTAATTATTTGTATTAGATTGTAAGAGAGTTGAACCTGCCCAAGAAGGAATTGTAAGGGAACCAGAAAAAAAAATGTCTTCTAATAGGCCTACTAATTAGACTTTTTGGTCTTGCAGGGGGAGGGGAGTTCCACAGGGCCAGAGCTGCTTTTTCAAATATTTATTTCAATGTATGTTTTGGACAGGACAGATAGAAGTAGAAATAGGACTAAGAAAGTGGCGATGGATGGGACACAGCTTCCGAAAGCACAGTGGAAACATTACAAGACACTCACTGTGCGAGTGGAACCCACAGGGAGCACGAGGCAGGGGTAGGCCACGGGAAACATGGAGAAGATGCGTGGAAAGGGAAATGAGAGAGACAAAGCTCACTTGGAACGAGCTGGGAAGGATGGCCCAGGACAGAGATAAATGGACGGAGTTTGTGTGGCCTATACCTGCCAGGGGTGAAAGACATTGATGATGATAGAATGTTTTACGTTCTTGCGATCAGGAAATGGGGCTTTGATCCAGCCTGTTGCGGCCAACCCGAGATAACAGAAATATATACATCTCATCAGAAAAAACTCCTGAGATACTGTTATTAAAAATTCTCCCCATTACAGGAATAGCACTCAGATTTTCTGCATGGAACAGTGCAGCACCTACGCTACCCCACAGACACTGTACATTGTGGAGTCAAGGATAGCTAGTCCAGCAAGCAAGCAGGCAGTGATAATTATAACTTCACTTCACACCTCCCAAGGGCTACCCTTGTCTAGATTCTTTGTATGCTATCAATTTTACTTTTATCCATTGCCAACTAGGCTTGCATCTCTTTAGAACCACAGTTTCAGTGTTAAACCAATTACAGAATTGATTGAGCATCTCCTTTGCTTCCACCACTTTGTCCCGCCCATCGATATAATTAAAACAATCAACCATTGCCACCACACCTTTGCATCTAACATGATTTGAGGAACCTTTTATCTCAGCGCTATTCGATCAGGGTGGCAATCAGTGTTCAAAATTTCGCACCTCTTGCTTCCCAGAAAAGTTTCGTTGCCTTTATATATTATATATGCCATTTGAGCACTTTGGAAACAAGCAGCGGTGAGATTTCATACCCATGCAGCGTTCTCATATGGATGTGGTAACAGCCATGATACCTTCAAGCCATACCCCTTTTACCGTCCCTTGCCTTGCGACATTGCGTGAAGGATAGAGCCGGTGGAACTGAACTTAAAACTTTTTTTTCCAAATCAGGGTTGAGGGAGCATATTTTCTGTTCTAGATTATCTAGATAGGTCAAAACCTACCAGAGGGAACCGAGTTGTGAAGATTTCTGTCTTAGACAGATATAGATATATGTACCTGTATAAATAGAAGAATTAATCAAAGAGGTAGCAGAAAGATTCAGTTTTTACAGGTTTCCATTTTGGACAGGTTTATCTGATTTGCAAAATTTGGAAGTTTGCTCTGATTTGACCTGTCTGCCTTGAGAGTGACTTATTATCGCAGGACCTATATTATCTTTGAGAAGACATATATAAAATCAATGTAATTGAATTCACTTTTCATGTTGCTTGCATAAGAGGAATTGGACAAACTGTTTTCAATGCATCTCTAAATATTTGATTTTGACTGTGTTCTGGTTGTTCAAAAAGTTAACCAAGGAAGTTTGTCTGATTTCTTTTAAAGAAAAAGTCTAAGAAGATCAGTTCTTACTGAGGGCATTACCCTTTCTCTGTTTCATATGTTTATTGTGTTCTTTGACCTGGTTATCAATGTTTCTTGGGGGTTTTTTCAATACAGATTAGAATGAACAATGGCCTCTTCTGAGTCTGGAACCACAACTCGGTATCGGGAAAAGAAGCCTTGGAGGAAAATTCTGTATGAAGATCAAGGGTATCCAGATGATTATGTGGACAGCTCTTTCCTTGAAGAGTTGAAAAAAAATTGTGAGTGTGTCAAACTGAAACTTTAAAATAATCATGTAATGTGCACTGGGATTTTAAGTAGGCTTACTCTTCAAATAAATATATAGACATATTTGATAGTTGAGCATTGTGTGGTCTCATGGAAAGCATTTACTGTACTTCTGCGTTTTTGCTAAACTTTCGTTTTGTCTGTTGCAGCTTGAATAACTAAAAGGTTCAAACAATATTTTCTTGCTCTTGTGTAATGTGGATTTTATAAGTCTAGGATTTGATTTTTCTCACTGCTTATTTGTGGTTGTCAATGGTATACAGTATAACATGGTTAGGTTGAACAAGAAAGACTCAAAATCACGCATCCGTCAAACTGAGCCTGCGCTCCCGATTTTTCTTCTACTTCATCTTTGTGAGATATCCCTCGAACTACGGAAGTTGGTCCCAATGTATTCGAGCTATCTATGTTATAATATTATATTATTATTGCTAAGACCTCCGAACTGGCAACCATCAGGTCATGGGTTTGAATCCCTGTCTTGATGTAGTGTCCTTAGAGCCGTGCACAGTAGCAGCCACCAGCAACTTTGGGATTAATAAAAGTATTTGCTACACATAAAAAAATTATTTAAAAATTTTTCTTATTTATTCTCTTTGTACAGTGCATGTGAGATCATACAGTTATGGAATGTTGGTCTGTGCTTCCACCAGCATCACCCAACAGTTGAGCAGGTATAAGCCAGAAATTTACCTAATGTGTGTATGTTTGTGTGTGTGTGTGTGTGTGTGTTTTGTTGTCCATGCATGGGCATTTTTAGATGTATATGGACTTGTGTGTGTATTTCATATGATATTTTGTGTTTGTGTGTGTTTTGTGTGTCTGTGTTTGTTTTATTCTCAGCAGTTTCGAGATGGAAAGGAGTTTTGTCAATGTAGCCATTTTAAAAAGGGGATCTTCCCAAATTTTGAATTCTAGTTTATTTTTAAAATACTAAAATACTCTCAGTTTCACTTTGATTTTTTCACACAAGTAGGGTCACTGATCAGGCTATCGATTTAGCAAATAAAAAATTTAACATTAAAAATCAAAAACAGCATTTTGTTAGCTTAGGGCAGTATTGTGTATCCTGTTCTTTATGATGCTTCAAATCAAGGTAAGTCCCTCTCCTGTCTTGATTTTTGATTGTTGCTATAAGAGTAAAGGAAACTGAGTAGCACAACATGGGGATAGAAGACTCTTTTTAATGGTTGATAATAAATGTTTTAACGGGATAGCCTAATTCAAAATCTTTAATCATCGTTCACTATTATCAATATAGGGATTCTCATGGTCTTTTAGTTTAGTTTTAGTAGAGGTTTTACGGCGCTCGCAACTGCATAAGGTCATATGAGCGCCAGAAGATTAGAGGTGTTATAAGAGAGTAACAAACATAAAAAAGAAGAAGGGGAGATAAGGACGATAGATTTTTCATAGAGGAAAGAAGGAGCAAACCACACCAGAGCACCCGCCAACCGCCCACTCTCATGGTCTAAGATGCATAGTGTTCACCTCTCAAACAAAATGATGCAAAAGATGCGTGGATCAAAACCTGCCAGCAATGCCATAATTTTCTCTTCTGAAATCTTCTCTTTTGTCCTCATTTCCTGATCTCCTGTCCCTTTCTGTCTGCCTTTTTTGCCTTCAATTTTCCCAGTGAAAGCAAGATGTGACACAAGTGATAATTCACTGTGTATATATACTATATATATATATGTAAATTTCTACACATATTTTTGTTTCATTTTTTTAGCGTTGGACTGTTTGTAGCCATGTTTTTCAACATGGAGGATCGGATGCTCTCTCCACAAGTGTTATGGGCTTTAGCATCGGCTGTCACAGTGTTGGGATACGTTGTGAACCAAAGTCTTGCGTGGTACTACAGACAACAGCCTGTGCCCGCTCTGTGTAAGTCGCCTTGAAGTATACAAGGCTGTTACCTTATTTCTTTTTGAAATTGTAATATGAGTGGTTGGGTGGATGTTTGCCACCAGTAGGTTATACTTGTATACCTTTCTTCTCTTGTTTCTGTCTGTCTGGTTTGCTTTTTGTCAGCACCAAATTACTTTTGTAATGTATGTAGAAATGTTTCTCTTTCCTAAAACTATAAAAACTTTCATTATTTGAGCTGTGCTTTGAAAGTGAGCTTGAATGGTGTGTCTTTTTGCCTCCTTCCATGAGAGACTACACATAAACAGAATTCGTATGAAATGACACTTTTTTAAATCAAAAAGTAAACGAATAGTTACTGTTAAAGAGAAAATTAGTCAAAATCCCCAGCTTTCCGAAATAACGTCAGTGGAATGGGGGGTTTATTTTTCTTGGTTTGTAAAATTGGCATCTTCTACAAGACTATTGAGGCAATCAAACCTGTTAGATACTCTGAGAGTACACTGCTTAAATGAAGAAAAGTTCCAGTGCCCGTACCCAAAAAGACAACATTCCAATCATTGTAATTTTTATATGTATGCTTCCTTTACTTTAAGTGGTGGAGTTAGAATATTTGGACAGGACCATCACGAAGTAATCCTATTCCCAGTAACTGTTTTTTGATCAAGCATTTAAAACCTCCCCATGTAGATTGCAAAAATGACTCTGCTTGCAACTAGTCTGGGGGGGGGTGGGCTATTGACGTTTACATGAATCGATTACAAATGGTCCCCCCCACCCCGGACCACATGGCTGTTTCATATTATGTGATAGGCTTCTGCCCTTTGTCTGAGCCATGTATCATTGGAACTTTTTATGGTACAGGAACCCACTTTTTGAGGCAAGAATGAGTCATTTTGTTGGACTGTAAAGGCACATAATAATTCTAACAATAACAATTTTGTTATAGTCATATGTGAAGCGTGTTGACAAAATGAGTTACTTCTTGGATTCAAGCCTTTAGGAAATAGATAAATAATGTTTATATAGGTAAAGTTTTTACAATTGATAAGTACAAAAAAATAAAAGACAGGTTATAGTTAAAGAATGTGTCATCAATAGAAAATCTACAAATTTGACCCTAAGGTCGATTTTTGGCCAATAACTCCATTTGCAGATTGTGAGAAGTAATTCATTTTGTCAGCACGCCTCACATATTTTGTTGTTTGTCGTCAAATATCTCAATATATTCTCTCTGTCTCTACTCTCTGTCTCTCTATATCTCTGTCTCTGTCTGTCTCTGTCTGACTCTGTCTGTCTCTTGCTGTCTCTCTCTCTCTCTCTCTCTGTCTCTGTCTCTCTCTCTCTCTCTCTGTCTCTCTCTCTCTGTCTCTCTCTCTCTCTCTCTCTCTCTCCCTCTCTCCCTCCCTCCCTCCCTTCCTCCCTCCCTCCCTCCCTCCCTCCCTCTCTCTCACTCTCTCTCTCTCTCTCTCTCTCTCTCTCTCTCTCTCTCTCTCTCTCTCTCTCTCTCTCTCTCTCTCTCTCTCTCTCTCTCTCTTCATTAATTAATTAATTTATCCATCCATCTACCCATGTGCCTCTCTGCCCAGATGTTCATCCCTGCCTTTCTCACTCTGGTACCCCTGAAGACATGTGTCCTACTCCAAGGTTTCAGTACGTTCCAGTCCCCAAGCCGTACCAGTGGTTTTTATCACAGTGTCATATTCGGCACTTGTATGACCTTATTGTGTTGCATGTGCCGCTCAACCCTTACCAAAACAAAACAAAAACCCCAAAACATCCCCACCCCACCCCTCCTCAGTGGTAAAACACCTGAAGACATGTAACAGTATCCTACACCAAGGTTTCAGCGGGTTCCTGTCCCTGTACTGGTGGTTGTTATCACAGTGTCATTATATTCTCTCTCTCCCCGCCCCCACCCCTCTCCTCAGTGGTAAAACACCTGAAGACGTGTGTCCTGTTCCAAGGTTTCAGCGCGTTCCTGTCCCCTGTGCTGGCGTCGCTCACTGAGACCATCAGCACTGACACGATCTACGCCATGACAGCTCTCATGTTTGCCGGCTACCTGCTCTTTTACAATTATCACACATTAGACGGAGAGTAAGTTGTCTCTCTCTCGCTCTCTCACAAAGTGCAAGGGATATTTTAATTTGTCACATTTGGTACCGGATAATGTGACCTAAAGACCTTAGATCTGTCGCTGTCATTGGTCTGAAAAAATAAAAAGCAGAAGAGATACTTAAATGACTTACTTGATGAACTTAATAAACTGATGGGTGGTGGGGAAAGGCCAGGATGATGTACATTTTTTAAGAACATCCAAGCAGTAAAATGAATGGCAAACCATGATTAGCAATGTCCAGTTCATGTCTGGCACTTGAAGGAAAAGAAGAAGAAAGAAAGAAGAAAGAATGTGATCTGGGGAAATGAGTGAGTTTAGAAATTGTGCTTGAAAGAACATGTTTCATATTGAGTGAATTAACTTTTGAAATGCATGAAACTGTGGTGATATTTCTCAATTTCACCATTTCACATTGCCTTGTTGGCAATGGTAATTTAGAAACTGAAGGCAAAGGTGAAGTGTTGCTGACTCATTTTGCTTATGCTTATACTTTTTACGATTACAGACATGTTTTATGCAAGAGCATTTTGCCATACAATTATTCTTTTGTGACAACTAGGAATGATGTGATTGTCTAGAGCATAAAATCTGTCAACATCTTGTCTGTTTGTATTTTGCTACGATTTATTTTTTAAATGAGGTTTTTCAGTTTACCCCAAAATGTTCAGTTTCGAGGGAACTTCCAGCACCAGAAGAGTGGGTACCGGAACTGAATGAAATGCTTGCGTTTGAGGGGGGGAGACACAGCGCATTGGGAAAAGATTTGTTAAGTGTGTCAATTCTTCACCCCTCAATATCTTCCCCAGCATTCTAAGAGCAGACATGCAACAGAGAACAGAGTCAGCCTCTAATTTGACAAGTCCTCCAATATTGTCAGTCATAATCATAAAAAATTGCTCGACTGATTTCTTCTTGTTTTGAGAAAAAAAATTTAAAATTTTGCTATCTAAGTCAACCGTATGGTTTTAGCACTGAAAATGTCTCATTGATTTGATTTTTAGAACACAAAACAAAATCCTGCTATATTGAGGATATAAAACAACTAACACGCATTTTTACTTCACCGATAACTAGCACCTTGATAAAAATTCCTTTTTAAAAAAGTATTTTAACTGAATAAGGTCATATGAGCACATGGAACGGATTAATTAAACATTTTCAGTTTGGTAGGAATTAATTTATTTTGTATTTTGCCCGCGTGGGCAAGTTGCACACAGGACCTTCGAGATTTTTCGCCCTTATCCGAGATGGCAAAGTGTTAGATTTTACCTTCCCTAAGATCAGGGGTGTTGAAAGACAGCAATAAGGAGCTAGAAGTAGCAGTAGAAAGAGTCAGGTACCTAGAGGGGGGGGGGAGGAATAGGCAGAAAGTAGAGATGAATGAACAGTGTTCCCGATGTGGACATATTATATATATTTATACAGCACTTTGTGAAAAGTCAATCTCTAATTATGCATCCACATCTCCACCATCATGTCTAAGGTAAACACACCTTCCCAATATGTTCCCCAGTGTCCCTGGAGCTGTGTCGCTGAATGCTGCGGTGTTTGCCTCTGTGTGCCTGGCGTCCCGACTCCACACGGCCTGGCACGCCTTCACAACGGTCACCATCTCCTTTGAGATGTTTGCTCTCTGGCCCATTCTGCAGAATACCCTTAAGGTGAATGTTTCAGACTGTTATAGTACTGCCTTTTATCTCTTCTGTGTGGTGGGTGGAGGGTGTCACTGGTAGTTTCTGCTTTTCTAAAATTATATGAAGTCACTGTGGTGTAAAAGTTAGGCCCTTTGCCGCTGCACACAGGACGTTAGTTCGATTCCCGATTGTGCTGCAGAACAGCCTTAAGGTGAATGTTTCAGACTGTTATAGTATTGCCTTTTATCTTCTTCTGTGTGGTGATTGAAAGGTGTCACTGGTGGTTTCTGCTTCTTTAGATCATGTGAAGTCTGCTTATCACCTGCATCTGTGGTTAGGCTCTTTGCCATAGCACACAGGACGTTAGTTTGATTCCCGAATGTGGAAGATTTCTTATTGAGTACTTTCATTTGTCTGCTGGGATGTTAGCCTGCCTCCTAAATAATCCAAATTGTGTGACAGAGGGCATCAAACATTTACAATTATATCTGCTCTTTTTTTTCCCTTTCCACCCGTACCACTGAGCCAAGTACCCAGCTATAAAATTAACCTGCTTGAGTTTTACAGTGCACATGATCAAAGTTTATCCTCTGTAAATAGCTTTTGAAAGTAATACTACTATTTCAGCACCTTTTTTGCTTCTTTTTTCACAGGAGTTTCATTACCGAGGCCATGTGATTGTGACGTTAGTTATCTCCCTTGTGTGTACCTTGTGTCTGCTGCCCAAGACGGTGGTCGGGGCTGTCCTCTACCTCACAGCTGCCATCTTCGTCACCTTCGTCTGCCCTGCCTGGCTCTTCCACATACAGCCCCTCAAAAAGTAAGTCAGGTTACCTAACTATTACTGTGAAAATAGAAATCGTAGTAGATTTGCAAATCTGTATCAAATCCAATTTTGTACAGTCCATGCCGAAAGGGTACGTGCTCTACACAAAACCAATGGCTCCTAAACAAAATACCAATGATACTCATCTGATGTTAAGTCCAGTTTTTTGTTGTATTTGTGACTTCTCTGTTTTCCAATCTGTTTGAAACTATTATAATGAAATATTGTTCAATGCAGAGACAAAATTCTCCATTCCTTTGATATGCAATTGATTTCCATTCCACCAATGTTGATGAATCTCAATATATACGCTTAAACATACTTTTTAATTTCTTTGATTTCACACGATTTTGCAAAGTCTTGATTCTAAAGGTTGATTCTGAGTGACCATATCTTGGGTGATTCTTAGCGTAGTTGTAATATCAATGTGTTAGATGATGCAGAATTTATTTAGACAAAAATTGATATGCTACATAAGTGGTAGTGCAAGGCTTTAATTCGATAATAGAGTGAATGCATTTTCAAATTTCTTTGGAACGCAAATGTATATGTGAAAAAATAATATGGATATTATCTCTATATATTATTTCATTTCAGCAATATTTACGGCCCCTGGGATGAGGCTGTGGTCAAGACGTGACCTCGCTGACCTCTAGCACTTTCGGAAACAGGTCAATGGAAAGGCCTTGATGAGCTGGCTGATCCAACTGTATTGTTTTGGCATTTGATGTGTTATTTTGTACATATTATTGTGTATGAGATTTTGATAAGAGGATTGGGTGTGTGAACATCTCTTTTTATTACTGGTTTCCATCAAGGGAAATGTATTTTTAATTTATACAGGATTGAATGCTGCAAAAAATGCTCATTTATTATTTTTAGATTTAAAAAAAGAGAATATTTTGATTTTGTATTTTTTGAATTGTGTATGTCAATGCTTGTGCCATAGATCACACCAAGTACGGTACTAGTATTTCAGGACTTACCTCCCCTGTGTGTCATACTATCTAGGTCAATTGAAAAGCAGTCTCGGAACAGCCGTTCATGGATGTCACATGTGTTTACAAATTGTGCTAGCCCCTACAACACAACAAGTGGCGAAGAGGGTGGGATCGCTTTCTGAGGCGCTGGCAATTTCTTCCAGAGTCATGGCTTTAGGGACTGAATGACCAGCCATGAAGTTGGCGTAGTCGTCTGCGATTTTAGCCTTATGACTGGAGATCACATTGTTTTTCTCAACAGGTTGTCTGCTGAGGAAGTCAGCCGGATTGTTCTCTCCTGGCTGGTAGCATAGGGTGAAATCGTAAGGTTGGAGTCTGAGATTCCATCGTTCAATTCTTGCTGAGGTTCTGAATGTGATGCTGTTGAAGATTCCTTCAAGAAGTATGTGGTCAGAGATTACTGTGAACTGGTGACCAAGTAAGTACACGTTGAAATGTTCACAAGCCCAGATGACTGCAAGAGCTTCACAGCTGGATTTGAGAGTATCGTGACTCGACATCAGTCAAAGCACGACTTGTGTATGCCACTATGCGAATGTTGTTCTACCATCCAGAGGTAAAACCTAGTAACATGGTCGACCAAGTTTTGAGAAAATAAAAAAAACAGTTCAAAGTTCTTACATTTATTTATTGACCAAAATGTATTTCTCATTCATAAAGTTCTTCAATAGATGGGATGTTAGGTTATCTGAGAGTTTCACTGAAAAAAATACTGTGATAGCAAAATAATTACAAGATACTAGGTTGGATGGCTTCCTTTACAGAGGTAAAACCTGGTAACATTAAGCTACTACTTCACCTTGGCACAACTCTGCCCAAAGCAAAACCTTGTAACTTATGAAATTCACCAGTTGCTAGGTTTTACCTCAGAAATGGTAACTGAAATCAGCCTGCAGCTCAATTAAATTAAACATGGTATAATAAACTTACAACCTACTGTAATCATAAAAGTACATTGGGATTGTAACTGGCAATTACAGTTGAGTCCTGAATATGGGCAACCACCTGGTTCGATGACAAAACCTTACATAGTTGTCCAAATGCGACCCAGAATCATTGAAAATATGTCCAATTGTATATAAATAGATTTTTATCTTTCATGACCCCAAATAGCAGACCTCCGGGTCCCTGGGGTTTTTTTATGTAGCATGTGTCTCTTCCGATTCTTTTTATGATCCTAAACATAACAGGACAAAATTAACTCTTAGTATACATGGGCCTGTTCCACCTTTTTACGCAGCCATTTTTTTTATATTTTTAGGGGGCCGTGGTAAAATGATTATAACTGTCTTATTTTTTTACCTCTGTAATTGTATGACACATCAACATTTTCAGAAATGAACAAGCAATTCAACCTTGGTAAAGAAAAAGATATGTCAGGCATGAGAGAAGAGATATGTGGCTTGAAGGAGGAAGAAATTGATGAAAAAGAAGAAAAAATCAACGTATTTTCGACTTACATGTATTCATGGCAGATAACAATCCTTTCAGAATGTTTGAAACAACATATCAAATGAAAGTATGTCCATTTCCCAGTTCATGTTGAAAGTTTCAGAGGTTTCTGATGCACACAAAAAAGTTTTTGTAACTTTGAAATAAGTCACTCAAATACAGGTAAAAAAGCACAAACACAACACCACTGGATAAGAACTCTATAAAAAAGATTTACACTATGTACAGTTCACAACCCCAGTTACACTGATGAATGGAATTGCTTAAAACATTTATTTGGGTGCAGAAATGGCTGGCTGTCACACCCGTTGCAAAAGAATGAAGTCCTCACCCTCTTTTCGCGCGTGCTACACTCTCTGCATTCACGGGTCAGTTTTGACTTCACAATGACATGTGAGCTGTTCCAGACCCTGTTCAAGGGGTTTTCTGGCTGGGCATGACCTCTGTTGTCATTATTCTCTTGTATCTCTGCGAGATGTCATGTCGCAAGGTTGCACAGTTTATCAATGAGCTTCGTTTTGAATTTCAGCAACGGATGTTTCTTGGCACCTTCAGGCTAAGATTTGGTATAAAGTATAAAAGCGTTGATCTGTGTGATCTCAAAGATCCACAGAAAAATTTTGTTCCACCACTTTCTTGTTCTTCTATAGAAGGTAGGCTACCATAGGTCTGGACCATCTGATCAATTTTATCACAGCCGTTCATGTTTTTATTATAATCTTAAATTACAACCGACTTGTCCACCCCTTTCACCTCTGTTGCACGTACTTGTGCCTCACTAGATACCAAGACATATGGTTTCTTTGCTTTTTTGTCTCGAAATGTTACACACAGGTACTTTGTATCCTGCATGTACCACCTCATTGCTCTGAAAGCGAGCCTGTTTGTTTTCAGCTCTGGCGGGAAGTCACGTCGATTTATATTTACCGTCCCGGTATAATAAAATTTCTCGCTTGATAAATATTTCAGCAGGGGATAGCTGTTGTAGTACCTGTCTGCAAACAGGTGGTGTCCAGGTGACAGAGGTGACAGCAGAGTGCTAAAAACCTTTTCTGCCTGTTAAGCATCATGATGGCGAGGGTCAAACGAGGTGTTAGCCCCAAAATAAATGAGCAAGTTCAGGACATATCTGCTTTCACTCTCGCATAAACTGAAAGTCTTGTGATATTTTTTTGGTTTGGACGCATTGAACATTCTATGTGCCCACCTGCCCTTCCAGCCGATAACCATTTCATCGAAGGAGAGATTCTTCTTTGGGTAGTACGCAGCTTGAAACTGTCATAACAAACAATTTACAAAGGGTTCAATCTTCGCTTTTTCTTCAACTCCAACCTCGCAAACATGTAACATCGTGCGGTAAATTGCTTGGAATCTGTCGCGCGTGAACATTTTCTTGAACCACGTTGTGCACTGAATTCGCTCCTTGGACCAGTAGCTTTGAATGCTTGGCTTGTGTACTATACCCATCGAAATAACGACGGCAAAAAACTTGTATAGCTCACCAAGTGAGATGTCTGTCCATGTTCGAAAAACAGAACTTGCACTCGCAGTTTTCTGAAGCTCTGCACATTTATGCTGTGCGTACTCATTGATCGTTGTCACCAAGCCACGGAGAATTGTTGTTATACACAGTGCCAAAAAGCAGTGGTTAGGAGAAGAACCTTGTGCCACAAGCTCCAAGTCAACTCCTGTTCTCAGGGGCGTAAACCGAAAACTCTTCACCGTAGCCCCTTCATTCACTTGTCTCCAGTTGTTCCCTACTTCTGCATCTCCTCTTCCATCTCCAGTACTAGTACTAGGCCTAAGAAGGGGAGATCTTGACCTCTCTCTGCTCTTAGTACTCCCAGCACCAGCTCCCTTTCTTTTACCAGGCCCCTCCCTTTACCCTGTGAAGGACATGCCCCTCACAAGTCACAAGTTGAAGTTGACGGACCGGGTTCATCAAGGTCTGACTCACTCGAAGACTCGTCTCTGCCTATAACATCGTTCCCATCCGAGTCTTTATCGCTACAATCGAGCTCGGATTCTTCATCACACATAGTTTGGAACAAATCTATGGCTGCTTTTGCAGAAAGCCTTTGCTGTCTTCCTTTATTGGCAACAGCTATAATAAACAAACAAGCTGACTTGAGTGGACAAATTCACACTGAAAAAGTCACAACAAATTCACTGGAAAATACGCTCCAAACACCACAAACTGCGTTCGAAAATAGCATACTTCCGTTCTAAAGGGATCTCTAAGAAAAAAGATTTCCGTACACGGTGTAGTTTTTACACAAAGCCCCAGAATATTAGGTGACATAGAGAGCCACATGAAGTGGTGTGCCGGCATTTTGACATCGTTAAGTGCGCCACGTGAGGTGGTGAGCCGGACACTAAGAGTTAAAAGCATAGGTCAGGGGGTTGCCATGGCACAGTGGATAGAGCACTCACTTCGGGTGATGGAGCTCTGGGGTTTGAATCCCAGTTCAGTTCGAATTTTTTTATCAGAGAGGGTTTTTTTTGTCTTTCTGGCTTGGCTCACCTGTTGTCATTGCCCAGCAGAGGTGGACATTTAAAGCATAGGTCATGTCTGTGAAATGAGTCATGTCTGAAATGACCTTCCAATACGTCATGTACAGGCATTAGACAACAAATTAACAACAATAAAGCACAGATCTAAGAAAAAATAGAAGCAAAGGCAATATCACTTGATAATACATTTATTGACTGCAAAGGTCTATTTGCCAAAATTTTGGACCCAAATGTTGTTACTGAACAAAAAGATAAGAAAAAAGGAATGCAAAGACATACAGAAACAAATTGTTGGTTGTTGTAAAAAGCTCTAAAATCAGGGGTTTTTTTAGATTTCTTCACACTCACAAAAAATAAATGAAGGCGTGTCAGTTGAAATTAAAGGTAACTAGCTAAGCTTCTACTGTAGCGAGATCCTTAACATTGTTGTTGACTGGTAAATCAGTCCAAAATTGGAGTCCCCCTCGGCGTGAGGTTGCTCTCCGTAGAAAAAGAATTGCATCCTTCTTTGATTGTTGTATTCCTCTTGGAACATCCATTTTTTGGAGGCATTGACAGTTTGCCCACAGCAGAGGGATTAATGAAATTGCGAGCGCTGTAAAACCCCATACTTAACTACAACTAACCAGTCTCTGCACCATTGCCGCTCTTGGCACCCCCTCCCCGATCTCCTGACTCGTTGACCTTGCACTGAGAGGCAATATGCCCCTTCTTTGCCACATGTGAAACAAACAAGTCGTCGTCTCCGTTCTTGACAATCCGGTACAGAATGTGGCCCACCACACTGAAAACACTTGACCCTCGATTTCTTCCCTTTGGACGCCCGCTCCTCAGATGGAGCTGCTACACCCACGGAATTCTGAGCCAAAACACGAGTCCTTCCAATAAGATCGGCCACCTTCATACCCTCAACTCCAATGATTTGCTGTAACTCCAATCCAACAATGTCCGGGAAACCCATTATAAATGCTAACTTCACCACTAGCTCTAAGCCACTCCCAGTAAACCCACACAGCCTTGCAAGCCTCCGCAATTTGTTAGCAAATACATCTGCTGCTTCACTCGCCCATCTACACTCCCTTAACCTTGATTAGGCAGTGAATCGATTATTTGCAAAAGCTTTCTGTTGACACTTTTTAAAGGTAGACGGCACAGTTCATTTCTTCCTTGCCGTCCAAAAGAAATAGTCTGTGTACTCCACTCCTGGTTGGGTGTTTGGTGCTTGTTTGGGGGTCTCTGGTAGAGGTGCAACTAGTACCGATGGTCTGCATGGGGCTTGGATGACGGCAAGTACAAAAGGCTGCTTGTTGAGTGGGTTTTCAGGCCGCTCCACTCTGTATAGTTCATAGGCATTGAGGAGTGCCATGTCTAAAAAGTTGCAGAAGATCTTGACCCAGTAGCGATGGGTGGTTCTTTCTGCGGCATAGTGGTAGATCTCTTTGTCTCTCAAATCCACCCCGCCCATGTATTTATTACAATCAAAAATCCTGGTTGGCTTTCTGACCTCCTTGTGGCAAATTGTCTTGGTTTTGTTTTGGGCAGAGTGTCCTGTGCTGAGGAGAAGCACTGGTTGCCTCTGAGTTTTCTTTCTCCCGAAATGAAACGGCAGGCATGTGGCCATTCCGTTTTGTATTGGGTGCCACCCACTTCAAGAGTATCGGAGAGTCCGCGAGGAAGAACCGCAGACATCCGGTTGACTGTGCCTGTCAGTAACGTTTGGCTTTGTAGCAGGGTTTCTGCCAGGGCATGTTTCGTATAAAACATGTCCGTGAACAGGTGATAGCCTTTGTGCAGGAGTCTGGCTGCTGTCATCGACTCCATGACGACAGCATGAGCCAGGCTTTGTCGACACTGGAGGTCAAACTCTTTCCCTGCGTATAATGCGACGCGCATCACATATCCACTGACGTCGCAAAGTTCAAATTTCTTTATCCCGAATCGGGCATGGCGTTTGCTCCTGAGATATTGAAGGTAAACAGTTCTGTTTTTCATCCCAACCAGTGACTCATCAATCTCGTGACATTATCTGGCCGAAGAATGGGGTGTGGAGAACAAGATTTGTGCTCCAGTAATCATTGAGTCTTTTTTTCTTCACCAATCCCATAGTGAACAGAAGTCCAAACAATGATGGAAGAAATCCATGGTGTGGGACCATCCACTTTCTCAATAATGACCAGCTGCTCTAGGCGCTGGATCTCTTCCTCCACTCTCTTTCTGAGGTGAAAGGGTATTCGGCGATGTGGTTGGGCGACAGGTTGGACTGACGGGTCTTGATGTAGTGTGACCTTGATGCCCTTTAATTTGCCGAGACCTTTAAATAGCTTTGAAAATTCACTGCAGAGACTGTTTGTAAAAGAATGAGTAGGTGTGCTTGTAGCATTGATTGCGAAATTCACAAGTTCCTTGTCTTCTGCTGTTTTTGCACTTAGAAGATTGCCACATTTCGTTGATTTTTGTGAGCGAACCACAGGGAAGGTTGCATGCACGGGGTGATTTTTGTGTTTTACTATGGGCTCAGATTGTCCTATGACATGCACTGGTTTGCTACTGCCATATGCACAGAGACATGTAGATGAGGGGGTCAGCTTGTGTCACTCTGAGGCTCTTGTAGGATTGTTCATTTAGAATGTTTACTGATGCTCCCGTGTCAATTAGAAAAGGGATGCTCTCTCCTGAGAGGTCTATGTTCTTTTTGGGAGTCTTCTGGTTGGTTTTGACACCAAGAACGTAGTCTTCCTCTGAGGTGTCACTGCCTTCATTTAGATTGTTGGTGATGGGTTTGACATGCACTGTGCTGTGTCGACGGTGTACAAAATATTTGTTACCTGATCTACTAATTTTGAAAAAATGACAAAGTTTAGAAAAATTATGTCTTGCAGTTCTTGTCCTTTGCAGGACATCAGTTACAAGGATGTCGTAGTCCTCCGCACCATTCACAAGGTCCGTTCTCAGGCATTTGCTGATGAAAGCGACGTTGTGATGGCTGAGATGGGGGGGTATAGGCTGATGGGAATCTTGAGGCTTTCCCTTTGGCTACGTGCTGTTTGCTGATATTATTGACAGTAGTAGCAGGTTTTCTATCCGTTTCAATTTTCTGTGCTTGTTCATCTGATATCTCGAGAGCCCCTGCTGCTCTGAGCAGGTTTCGTTAATTGAGGTCGGTCATCTCGCAGAGCATGTCTGCGCAGGCTTTGCGATGCACAGCCCTGTAGTATTTGAGAATTTAGTTCTCTGTCTGAGTCTTGAAAGTCACATGTGGCAGCTAGCTTTCTTAGTCTGGTGCAGAAAGAATCTATGTTCTCGCCAGCTTCTTGTCTTGCCAGTCGGAACTTGAATGTTTCGTAATCAATGTTTTTCTGGGGGGCAAAATGCGTTGTGAGGGATTGGCAGAGTATGTCATATCCTGCTTCAGTGTCAGACCCCAATTGTGTGGCTGTGAATGTTTCGTATATATATATATCGTAAACTTCTTCACCAGCGTAATGCAGTAGAAAGGCTGTCTTTCTCGCTGCATCATTGACACCCATTGCTGTCAGCAATAACTTGAACCGAGACAGCCATTTCTGCCACCTCGTGCCTGTGGTACTTCACCACCATGTACAACGAAATGATTGAAGGTAGGTAGCATAGCTGCCCACCTCTCTCTGTGGCTATCAGGGAGACAATATACATAGTGACAACACAAACAATGGAACATGTATGCAATTTACTCTCCTATTTACACTATGCACAAAGTTGTTTGGTGATGTTTTACTCCTGGGACTGACGGTGCCTGTAGTTGGCACTCTTCAGGTCCCGCAGCTGGTCATCACTGTAACTCCTCTCCAGTGCTGAGCCGGGTCTGCCTTTGGCCACCAACAAAGCCTCCAAAGTGTCCCCACCCATGCTGCCTCTGAAGTCAGTTTGAGTCTTTCTGACTCCTGTGAAGATGCGCTCACAGTGCCAGATGAATGTGGGATGGTGAGAATGTTCAGCACCACTGCTGGGAGGTATTGGAACTTGGCCTCCCCGTCCTCAGTCAGCTTACTTATCTCCCTTCAGGTAGCATCCACCCTGCTTGAGCCACTGATGCAACTCCTGATGTCTGCACTTTGATACTTTGAAAATTCAAGTTGCAGGACTGACACCGTTGCCTCTGGGTGGAGGACCTTGGGGAATCTGGTGAGAAAATACTCAAGAGATGTGAAGCGGCTGTCTTGCTGTTTCTTTGGGCTGGCCACTTCAGCGTGCTTCAGGAGCTCATCGGTGAGTGGGAGTTTCTTCTTGATATAATCACAGCTCACCTTGTAAAAATTCTGCACAGCAGTGTAGAACTCCTCAATTCTCTCCTTCCTGAGCTTGTTGTGATCCCGCATGATTTGCCTGGCTTTGTCTCCAGTGATCAGGTCAGATTCCTGCTTCAGGTTGTAAGTAGTCTTGAAGTCGACTTCAGTCACCAGCTTATACTGCAGTACTGAGGGCTTGACAAATTTCAGGAGCAAAGTCCGGAGAAACTTGTGGAGAATCCTTCTGAGAACATGGATCTGGGGCTTCTCTGACTGCAGCTTGGTGTTAATGTCATCAAAAGGCTGGATGGCATCAAGCAGAAACATGACACAGACTTTGAAGGTGGCTGACTGTAGCTTTGACCTTATCTTGCCAGCCTTGGTCTTGTTGTCGGCATCAGATGCAGCTTCTTCCTCAGCCTTGAAGAAATCCAGCAGGGCATCCCAATTACTGATGAGCCGTGGTAGGCACTTGCCAATGCTGAGCCATCTTGTTCTGACATGTTTGATAAACTTGGCTTCTTGTAGGTTATGGAGCACCTGCATACAATGGAATGCTGAGTAGCGCTTGCTGCTCTTATCTAGGTAATAGTAGATATATCGATGAGGAGCTGGCCAACATTAACAGGCATGGAGCTTGCCCCCTTCTGAGCGCTGATGTGTATCAAATGACACTCACAGGTTCTTCTTTTTCATAAGGCCGTACACCACCTTTCTCTGCTCCTACCATCACGTTGGCGTTGTCACACCCCAGTGATAGGCAGTTTTCCCATGGGACATCATGAGCACTGAATTCATTATTGACGAGGTTGAAGATGATCTCCCCTGTTGCAGACCCCTGAAGAGCTGGCACAGCAAGGACATCTGACCGAACCTCCATTGTGTTTAAATCTACAGTCCTGACAACAAGAGGGAATAGCTTCTCTGCCCTCCTGTCATTGCTGCCATCGGTTGAGATCGTGAAAGGTTTTCCGGGACTGTTTGTCAAAATCTGTATTTCTGGGACAACAGCGAGTTTTCAAGAAAATCCATACAAAATACGGATGGCCCAGGACCATGGGCAGCTATGAGGTAGGTTAATTGCCGCCGAGGTCATTTTGATAATTGTCACTTACCTCCAAACAATTTTGCACCGTATTGTAAGGTAGAGGTTAGGTTTGTTTTACCCTCGTCGCTACTTGTTGTGTTGTAGGGGCTAGCACAATTAGTAAACACATGTGACTGCCATGAACGGTTGTTCCGAGATTGCTTTTTAATTGACCTAGATTGTATGGCACACAGGGGAGGTAACTCCTGAAATACTAGCACTTGGTGTGATGACCGTAGTACACTACACAGACAGCCTTACCTTTTTACTTTTACCCTCGGGAACTGTTGGCGGGTGCTCATCCATCTTTATATATCTCTCCTCCTTTTTTGTGTTCTTTTTTTTTAATAGTAGAGGGTTTTACGGCGCTTGCAACTGCATATGGTCATATGAGTGCCAAGGGGTGGGTGTCAACAGAGAAGTCTTTACAGGGAATCAGACTTAGACTGCTCACCTCTCTAGCTTCAGCAGCACAAGGTCTGCTTCGACTATCAAGGCTGCCCAAAATAGCAAGTCACAAGGGAGTGACAAACATACAAAAGAAGTAGAGGAAAATGACAATAGTAAGGATCAGGAAAGAAAAAGCAGCAGTTCCCTGTTGTAGATCAGGCACAGTTTGAGTTATGAGTGTGACATAAGTCAGCCCATTTACAATTCTACTATGCTTGAACGAGATATGTCCCTCCTTTGGGAATGGCCTAAAGACACTTCAGTCAGTGGCACTGCCTTTTTTTGTGTTTGTTATTCTCTTCTAATCTTAGGCACTTATGTGACCTAATTGTGTTACAAATGCTGTAAAACTCTTACTGAAAAACATGTCCTGAATTCCAAAAGAACAGGGGAAATAATCTTCAAAAATACAAACAACCATACTACAATTTGTAACTACCCATTCAAAAAAAACATTGGGCTTAGAAGGTTAGGGGAGTTTAGTCCCACACAGTGTGCTCATGACTCATATATGTATTATTTGTGTGACAGAATCAAATCCGTCATCAGTGTGATTCATTTCTACAGGAACGGTTTTGGGGCAAAGTGAGACGTGTCTAGTTTGGACATTTTGAGTATGTGTCACAACGTGGTGGAATCAGGCGCTCGTCAAAACATTGAAATCAAAGAAACACATTTTTCTGGCTTTCTGGCAGTTTTGTTCTAATTTTGTTTTATTGACTCAACACTTTTTACGTTCATTTAGAGACACATTTCTGTGGTGGATTTTACTGAAAAACATTGATTAAAGGCACAAGAAATGTAAATTTTTAGTTTCCAAGCCCTTTTAATAAGCTATGAAAGCTTTGACAGCCATTTTCTCACTTTTATACCTTTGAAACCAGATGACCCTCACCTCCTTCAATTGCAAATATCTCGACTTCTATTCTACATAGATGGATTTTTTTTTACCAAAAGCAAGGCAAATGAACAGGCTTTAACTTTAAGTTTAAGATGATACCATTAACCCCATATGCCCCAAAACTGACGAGCGCCTGATTCCACCACGTCATGCCATGTATGAGCTTTTTTTTACCTGCATTTCAAACATTCCGATTCCCATACTTGTGATCTGCCCATTTGTCATATTTGTGTATGGTATATCAGGTTTTGGGAGAAGATATTTGGTATTTGATGAGATTTTTATTGTTTAAAATTGAGAGGATAAAACATTAAATCTTAATATTTTAGCATATGCCACCTTTTAATCTGAAACTATTCATACAGTTTTTATGCTGGAATCGTAATATAGTCAGCCTGGCATTCAGTGACTTATGATGTGCATTTTAGTTTATTTATGATGCTTAAGGAAGCCTGGTTGGGAGAGAGGGGATGACCATTGTGTGTGTGTGTGTGTGCAATGTGAATGTATTGTGCATGTGTTTATCATGTTGCGGGTGTTACAATTGAGAGTGTGTTGGATGCTGGTCCATTTGGCGGTCCACTGCGATTTTCTGTTCTACTTGAGTCTACAACTACAACTGGACTAGCCTGACAAATTGAAACTGTTCCTTTTGATGGTCTTCTACTAGTCTACTACAGTCCTCAATACTGGACAACCCAAACCCTAGCCATGACCATGTACATGTCAGCATCCCACCTGGTCACTTGATGTCCTTACCGCCGTCTTTGATTGTTCAATTGACACAGCCCAAGTAGACAGGGGGGATTTCTATTTCTGTTTCAGCAAGAGTGTTACGGCATTTGAAACACTATAAGTGCCGGAGATTAGAGGTGTTACAAGAGAGTAACAAACACTAAAAAGGAGGAGGAGAGATCAGGACGATAGATGTTTGATAGGAGAGAATTATAAGCAAACCACTCCAAAGCACCCATCAACCACCCTCAGTTATGGTAGAACAGATTATCGCAGCTGACCAAGTGGATTGACACCATGTGTTTGAACAAATACTGTATTGTATATTTGAATTGCTTGTGAAAAAGAAAATTTCTTCCAGTTGAAGATTATTAAAGTTTATCTACCAGGTCTTATATATGTTTGGGTTCTGTGTTGAGTCTAATTCTATTCTGATTGCTTCATTATCCTATGGACCCAAGTGCCCCCATAAATGGACATGATGCCAAATTTGACAGTCAAATACTTAGGGGAAATGATTCAAATTCAGATTTTGAAATTGCTGCATTGTGACAAAGCACGGATTAATGCCTTTTGACCATGGAAAAAAATATGTGACATGGAAATGAATAACATAAAATGTTTAGCGAAAGTAAGAATTTGAAAAGCTTACAAGCCATAATTCATTTTGATGGTTTCTTGGACTTAATAATAATAATATACCACTCATATCAAAGGCAATTCATTAAAAATAAATAATAGGTGGCATTTGTATTGTTCAAATTCCATCTCAACGGCAAGCTCTATGGACTTTACAGTCTTATATTATTACCCCAGCAGACCTGATAGCATTCTGAAACTATCTCAACTCCCTAGGAAGCATACAGTGCAAGCAGCCATTTTAGTAAATTTTACAGGCGCTAAAACACTAACATACTGTCAAGATCTTTTGCCCTCTATGTAACAATTCACACTTGGGTGAAGTGAGGAAAATTTGTGCAAAATGCCTTTTTCAAGGACACAATGTCAGACCTTGGCCTCAAACCTCCGAACCGGCAACCTCACAGTTAAAAGTGCCTTAGCCTAATCACTACACTACTACTACCCATGACTACTTTACATAGAAGGTGATTTTGGTTGCTATAGCTATCTATGCATCATGTAATGTTATATGTAAAAAAAAAGGTGTATTGGTACATTTCAACAGGAACTCTTGTGGTTTAGAGGTACAGTGTTCGCCTCTCATCCAAAAGGTCCTGGGATCGAAACCAGAGAGCAGTGAAAAAATGTACTTTTTAAAAAAATGTTTCCCTTTTTACCTCCTTTCCTGTTCTCACAGTTCTGTCATCATATTCTTTCATCTCCACTTTTCCTTCAAACCCCCCCTCTCCTTTAAGCTCTTCTCTCCTCCACTCCTGACTCTTTTTACTGCTGCTCCTGGTTCCTTCTTACTACTACTAGTAGTACTACTCTCTTTCAGCAGCACCCGTGATCTTAGGGAAGGAAAGATGGAACACCTTGCCTTCTAAAATGAAGGTGAAAAATCTTGGAGATCCTGTGTGTACGTTGTGCATGTTAAAGATCACTTGGTGGTCCTAAATTCGATATAAGAGAAGGCTTCTGCAACCTACGGACAGAATTCAAAATTAATTCCTACAAGTACTATAAGACTGAAAATAGTCTACTCGGTATAAAAGCAGAGTACCTTCAAAATTGGAATGTGGCTGCCTCGAGGCGAAGAGCAAGTGGCTGTACGAAATAGGAAAAACGGCCACATGTAAATGTGTAAAAATCTGTTGTAATGAAGATTGAAGAACCAGCAGTCAACTACCCCTGAGATCTGACCAGAGAATGCAAAGAAGAAAAAGAAGAAAACCCTTGAACTAATTTATATTGACTTTTAGCAAATTTTAAAAGCCTAGTGATTAGCGAGTCAAACTCTTTCTGTTGGTGTTTTCATGTTTTCAAACAAATTGAATGTCTTAGAAAAATGTACTGAACAAATACGAAAAAGTTCTGTTCACTCATCAAAAAAACAAAAAAAAAAAACCAAATCCAAGTTCCTTTGTCTTTCCATTTTATTCTCAGAGCTCCGCACAGAACAGTTAGTTTAAAGCTTCCTTTGTACAGCATAAACACAAACACATGGTCACTCAATTCATTCGCAAATGACCACTTGACACACAAGACAACCAATCACTCAATACTCATACATGCCACCACCAGACACATAAGACGACCAATCACTAAATGACAAGTCGGTGAAACACAATACAAGTAACCACTTGACACATCAGATGACCAATTGCTCAATACACATAGTCTGTACAAGTGACCACTTACATGAGATGACCAATCACTCAATACACACACAAGTGACCACTTGAAACACAAGATAACCGATCACTCAATTCATTCATAAGTGACCACTTGACACATGAGATGACCAATCACCCCATACACACACAAGATGACCAGTCACTCAATATACACACAAGATGACCAATCACTCAATACACACACAAATGACCAATCACTCAATACACACACAAGATGACCAGTCACCCAATACACACACAAGATGACCAATCACTCAATATACACACAAGATGACCAATCACTCAATATACACACAAGTGACCACTTGACACACGACCAATCACTCAATGTACACACACATGAAGTGAGATGACAAGTAACCACTTGACACATCAGATGACCAATCAGTAAATAATAATACACACACACACAAGTGGCCACTTGACGACACACACGATGACCAATCCCCCATCATCTGGATTCATCACGCTCTCAGTCACACTAGCACAAACTACGCAGCTCCCCTCTCCCCCCCACCCCCACCCGATGCCCCTCATACACCAGTGCCGTGTGCTAGGAGTAGTCGTCGTTTTCGTCCTGCTCTTGTTGTAACTGCTGCTGCTGCTGTAGCTGTTGCTGTTGTAAAGCCTGCTGCATCTGCAGCCACTGCTGTTGTTCCAGCAAGGCTTGTTCCTGTCGCGCCTACCACAACAAAGGGAGAAAAACATTTTATTTATTTGAAGCTTTCAAAGAGAAAAAATAGAATGAACGGCTATTTTTTTACATTGTTTTTTTGTCAATGCGTCCAAGAATGCCCAGGTGTTCACAATAAAATTATTACATTATGTTATTTTTAAGTCAAAGTTTTGGGCCCCCAAAAGGCACCCAAAGCACAAAAAATTGAATGTTTTCTAAAAAGTAATAAGTAATAGAACAAAGTATACATTAGTAGTAAATGAAGATTGTTTTATCATGCAAATCACAGCAATGACCTAGACCTTCAAGCTGTTCAGCAAAAGATCAGTTGCTTTTTTGCTTTTTTCTTTTGACTTTGTCGAGCTCTGACACTACCTATACTTTCAATTTCAATACAATATGAAAAAAATGGAAGAGCCAAAAGGTAGCAAATGGTATACCCTTTCAAGAAATTTTGTTTTCTATTAGGTATTTTGTGAATATTTGCTTTAGGTTAATTTTTTTAAATTTGAGGTCAAATTATTATTGACAACCAATAACAGAAACAGGAATAAAACCGAGCAAACCAGAAATAAACTGTCCCCATGGTTTTATGCACCCTGCATAATTTAGTAAAATTTGATCATTTTTTGCATAATTTCTGATTATTTTCCTTTATCATTCTTTGTTAAAATTAACAGAATCGCATAATTTCACATTTTTAGGCTCAGTTTGCATAATTTCCAAATTTTTCTTGCATAAAACGACGGAGACAGAATAAAGAAAGCTTTGGCAAGAGCTTGGGACACCGTCTTTCAGTGAAGTACCATTTCCGACTCTACAAAGACAGTTCCGTCCTTTCCCTCTCTTAGTCATACACACAAAGACAGTTATATTCTTCACCAATCCCCTCAGATCTAGAACTATGTACTAACACACTGGTTCAGATTCACCACCATTCTCTTTCCTCACTATCGCTGTCATGTGATATCCCTGGAAAATCATCAGGTCAACATCATTTAATTCAAATAAATTTCTCTGTGGAATGGTTGACACACAATTCACTCCAATGGAAGTCACTTGAAAAGACAACAATTCAATTATTTTTTATTCTCTTGTATTAACAGTAACAGGCCAAACAAAAAGTACTTTTGTTCTCTAGTGAAAGCCATTACAGTTGTCTATTAAAATAAAACGTTCACCAGGATCTGCACATAATGCTTGATAACCACACTATTGCTGGAGTTTAAAAAATATCGGGCCTAAAAATCGGCCTGAGCAGTCCAGTTACCAGAAGTGCCAAAGACTCATTGGAAACAGATGTGTGGGTACTCAAATTCATGGACTATATTTTATAATACATCTTATATCAAGACTATAATCTTTAGGCCTATAATACATTGTATAGGATGTAATACGGCAATATCTGGACAATGTCCGAAATTCAGATTTCTAATCCGCAAAATCAGCACCACCGACTTGTGGTTAGGATCAGCAGGCCAGAAAATTGACCCTGTGTCAGATGAAAAATGAAGTTAATAAGAGACTAACTCTTTATCTCTGAGGGGGGTAAGGTAAACGCACTACGCCATGCCCCTTTGTTGGTACAAAATCTAAAAATAACAAAAACGTCACTAAATGGGTCATTAAATCAAAACAAGTGAACTAATTTAGATAGTTCTTTATTTATTGAACAAACTCCCGGTAAAGGACACCAGTTTTTGGCAATTGCCAAAAAGTAATTCGATGTTAAAGTCGTCGTAAAGGAATGCGCCAGAGCCGCTATCAGCAGCTCACCTGCACAGTGGTTCCGACGCACAAACCACAAGGAGCGGCTTGCCGGTGATAAATAGTTAAAATATCTCTACCTTTTCAAACAAAGCCTGTTGTTGTTTGAGCAGCTCCTCCTCTGGGATACCCAAGTTCTCCAGTCGTGAGCTCCCACGACGTTTCTTCGCCGCCACGGCTTTCGCTTCTTTCAACACCGCCTTGGCCTCGCTCTTATACTCACCGAAACCCAGACTGTCCAGAGCTGAACGTGGGTGGAGGACACACAACAAAAAAAAAAGAGAAGAAAAGACTTGGTGTGGGTCTTCTTAATTAAACACATCTTTATAAATTACTCTCTACTTGGACTTGGATGGAAACCATATTATATCATGTTCTAATCTCAAAACAAAAAGGCCTGGAAAAGTTATCCTTTTCTTACATGGAAACCAAATAGAATGGAGTACGTTTAAGTCAAACATGGTTACAGGGTTAGACCTAATCCAAAAACATTTTTGAAAAACAGTGACATACATACTATGTAACTATGATATAATCTGACATAAAAAGAGACAAGACATTTCTAAACAGATTTTTTTAAGGCAATGATTAATGAATTATTTTTGTCTCAGGAGTTCAGCTAGCTTCTATCACCTTGATTAAATTTATATGTTGTAGATCTAAATTCTAGATCAATAATTAGATATGAATATGGGATCTATATCTAAAAGCAGTTAGCAGATCTAGGTTCCTTGAGTCTGTAGAGTAGACACCTCTAGTTCTAGATCAAAAGATAGACTAGTAAAGAGTAAAACCAAATTCAGGCACAATAATTGCAGCTGAGAAGAGGATTTTGAGCCTAAAATACATCCTATTAGCTTTGAAATAAGTGGCATCAAGTACAGAAACATGTACAAGTGAGTCTAATTTCTGTAACTGAGCTAGAGAAGGGATTGGATTTTTGCTTACTTTACTTTCATCCGCCGCTTATACCCTTTTGGGTGTCGCGGGAATTGGATTTTTGCAGACAAGAAAATCATGATATTTTTCTGTTCTATAATATCTAAAAAAAAGAAGTATCTGGACTAGAATTAGAATCAATGAACCACCTGAACTTTACAGCCTAACCTGTCAGCTAAGCGGCAGTTGTATATAAAAAATAGATACAGAGCATAATTTGGCCTTTAGGCAACTTTTTTCCTACTACGGGCTATCCAAACTCTTAAAATCAACATGGTTTACTTGCCACAGAAAGAGTTAAATTGTTAACCTTGATACGTCCAACAAAGCAGGTGGACTGCAACTAAAGAGCCAAAATCTTCAAATAGAAGTTTTTAATATATTTTTTTTAAATTCAAACTATTCATGCTCCACTGTAGTTTTCAACAAACGAACCTGCAACTACATGATCTGGAGAAATTGTTTTCTTGTTCTGTTTGACACAAACGTCATTTGCTTCCGAGGACACGAGGTGAATGAATTCGGTACAGCAGTTGAGGATCAGTTCTCTGGCATCATTTGCCACACGTATATTTGGTAAAAGTTCCTTTATCATTTTATTGAGAGCCGCTCTGGGAATGCTGAGGTCATCGTCCGGCTGCTGACCATCCTTGTCACGATTGTCTGCCATCTGCAAGAAAGAAACAGAAGGAAAAAAAAATCCCTAATAAATGAATACTCCTTGTACCCTCCTCTTTCACTGCCTGATATGGAACAGACATCAGTAGTCATGGTTCGCACAAAACCCTCATAAAAACATTATTTATCCCTTTTGTTGCCACGGGGTGTGTGTTCCTATTGTTAGCACTCATTTTCAGCAGTCTCATGTCTCAAAGCTAGTGGACATGGAGTCAAGATCAGGCCTATTCATAACATATTCGGACCTCGGGTCTTCTGTATTATCACTTTCCCCTCATCCCCCATTCCCTATGTTTCCCCATCTTACCTACCCACAAACAAATATACAAAAAAACACAATATCACACCAATACAGAACAATGTCACAAACATGCCATTGCTGGTCACCACTGCAGCACCCTGCTTTGTAATTCTTGAGCTAGGGTTGTCGTTTCTTGCTCAACTCAAGGACACACCCCAATGACCACCCACCTAAACCCTGTGTCACCGACATTAGCTTGACATTATTTTTTGAGTCTGAAACCACAACTCACAGACTTAGCCACAGGAGCCCCATATATATATTTTTTTAAATTTTATTTGGGGGGGGGGGGGGGGGGGTTATATCTCCGTACAGAAAAATTTGAGTCAGATGAATAACATGTTGTACGTCTTATAGACAACTACAAACTGAAATCTTGCCAACTCCCATGATGTCCATGGTACAGCACAAAGCTATAAATTCCACATTTTCATGACAATCAGTTTTTTCTTCTTCTTCCTAGGTCTCGATGACATCAGCTAGACAGTCAGTACAATATCGCGCACAAACTGTGCAGTCCATTTCAAATCTGAGAGACTGCCATAGAGCTTTCTCTCAAGGGGAGCCACATTCTGCCACGTCTGTGTACGAAGGGTGACGTAGCCCGGGCAGTGCTGAAGGATATATGATGGGCATCCTCCTGGTCGTGTCCACATTCACAGATCGCGGACTCTCCCACTTTAAATTTAGTGTGCATATGGTGTTTGAGTCTGTTGTGGAAACAACGGAGTCGAAAGATTGTGACCTGGTCTGCTCTATCAAGCATGTAGTAGGGGTCACGTCAGTTGTGTTTGGGGTGGGACCTTTTCCATGTGTTTCTTAAGGCAGATTTTATTTTTATTTGCGTTTTTGACTCTGAATGACAATCAGTGAAACTTGGATATAATATAACAAAGTAATTGAGCCAGACTTAATTTTGTTAAATCCGAGTTTTCATTATAGTTATGTAGCAATGTGAGAAACAAGTTGCATTTTGTGTAAGGCCAACCATACAGCAACGTTTTTTTTCTCCACAAACCAACGTGCAATTCATTGCGTAGATCTAGATCTAGCTGTATGTCTAAGCTGGCCTTTCATTCCAGGAATTCTTTTCTCGGCTGGCTGTACAATCAGGGTGTCAGGCATTGGTCAAACTAATTCCACACCTCTGGCCTCCAGTTACCAAGAAAAGTTTCCGTGGTGGAGCGCCACTCGAGCTCTTTCACTGGCAGTCGTGAGATTTCACACCCACACCATCCTGACCATCTTCATCACTCAGGGCTCACATGATGGGGTAACATCTACCCGCAATTTGCACCCCTACTCCCCTTCCTCGCCCGGCAGCATACCGTTAAGTTTAGAGCCGGCAGAACCAAACTTGCGAGTTTTGTTTCAATTCAGAGCTGAGCGGGCAAAACATTTTCCGTCTTAGAGGTAAAACCCTCGGAAGGGAGCAGATTTTTCTTCCCGGTTTCGCGTTGGACAGGTTTCCGTTTTATACAAGTAGCAAAAGAGGAATATATCAAGGGGGGAGCAGGGAGTTTCCGTTAAGACAGGATTCTGTTGAGGCAGGTTTGACAGTATTTACAGTCCTTCACATTAATGGTTGTCTGAGGAAGATCATGAAAATTTACTGGCTGGACACTATCAGATACGGAGACAAACCAAACAGTAATCAATTGACTGTGATGGATTGGACACACTCTAAGGAAGTCTGCCCATATTCCGAAAAGATAAAGCCATAGATGGAACCCCCAGGAGAATAGAAAGAGAGGGTGGCCAAACTCCACCACGGACTGAGATCTAGAGGCAGATCTCGGACACAGCAGGCCAGAGGTAGAGAGGATAGCACAAAAATGAGACAGGTGCCTGAGACCTGAGGTGGAGAGCTCTTCTTAGCGGACTATACCACCCAGTACAAAGCCAGGGAGAACGAAGAGGCAAATGAATAAGTATAAGTTAACGTTAGTGGTTAGATTAGCACAGTGTCTATTTGGACATGGACACGATCCTTCTAAAAAACAATTTCCCCTCTTTAAAAACATGTATTGCATGTCGATTTAGACCAAAAAGAAAACAATCACGATTGGTTTTCATCATTCTCTTATAATAGAAAAATAGAATTCAATTTTATGCAAACTGCAAAGATGCATTGGTCCAAAAAGAAAGAGAAGCAACTTAGGGCTAACCCTAACCCTAGATTCGGGAAATACAGGTTAGCCTAGACCATTTGAGCCAAATTTAAAAGGGCAGCATGGTGTTGGAGCCCAAGAAATGAGGTCACTAATTGGACATGACGAAATTTAACCCATCCAAAAAAATAATACATTATGATACCCCCTAAACCCTAAGCCGCACACATGCGGTTAAACATAGAACGACCCACCTGCCTGATACGCTATTAATTTTAGTAGTGTGATGTCATCACATCCTGGGATACCCAGAGAACATTTTTAGAAGGCCGTGGAGATACCCATTTAAAGATTCTCTACTACACGATCTTTGGAGACACCGTGTGGAACAACATGTTGGGTCAGTGGCTAGACGTATTATCCGTCGATGTGTTTCCCACGTTAAAATTTCACACTTGCGGCTAACTGCAGCCCACCAGCCATGCTCTGATTGGTTACAAGTTATAAGGTTTCCGGTATGTTAATTACATTTTGGAATTCCAGTACTTGGACATGATGGAAGATCGCTTAGATCGTTGATGCTCAGAACAGGAAGAACGCTGATGCTTGAAATTGAAACACGGTAAATACAAAGACAATAAACCGCACGAAAAATGCCGTAAAGACGCCGGAGGATTACCCGTCTGGGACCGGGATTCGTTCCAACGCTCATAAAATAATTGTACAGTGGAATCCTGTTATAACGAGAGGGAGGGGACCGGTGCGAAATGTCCGTTATAGCACGATTCTTGTTACGAGGGATCCAGTAATAAATTCAAGGGAAATAGTAAAGTAGGCCTAATAATCTATGAGTTTGGCGTTCTGTTTATTCCTTTTTGTATTTCCCCTGACTGATGGTGATTTGTTCAACATGATCTCTAGGTCTAACTTGATAAAAAATCGAATTAGGTTTCTTTCTCTAGCACTAGCAATGTTGACAAATCGGCCTTGGCGATCAGAAAGAAGGGGCTCTGGCTCAAGGCTTACTCCCCCGCTGCGTTGTCCCCCACCCCACCACACCCTGTGGTGCGTTGCGTCTGCTTGCGTACGTCACACAGTCACTCCATCCATCTATCACATTGTGACCTCTCCATTCCGCACCTGAGAAGTGAGAGGCACGGTATGCCTAGATAATATAGACTGGGCTGGCCTTTCACGCGATGCGTTCTGCCACACCCTCTCCACTCATTCGCTCCGGCCTTCATTGTTGGTTCGCGTGGGCTCTCCCATTCTTTGTTTCGCTGGATCACCAACAACTTAAGCAATGCCAATGAAAATTTAAATTTTCACTTTAGCCCTTTTTTTTTGGTACCTAAGAAAGAATTTTCAATTCTAAGAATTATGCTTCTTGAATTTTGAGAATCGGTTCATAAATAAAAAAGTTATGGGGTTGTAAAGGTTGGCAAAATATGGAAGACCCACATATAGGAAAATACTCCTAAAAAGTGGACCACGCAGTAGCAGATTCTGTAAGAAAATCGACGATATCTCGGTAACTAATTGGAGTGTTCGAGAGAAATTTGGCTACCCGATGTGTTTTTGAGTGTAGAAATCATTTCTGCAATCAGATTTACTACCAATTTCGTAGTTATTTTGTTATAATTAAAATTATGGTGTACATATTCCGATTTTGCAAAAAAGGGGTGTCGGGATGAGTCCATTTTATTTATAGCATCGTATCACAACATGGGATCTTTAAGAATATATGTCGGCAGCGTGACTAAATAATTGCAAAGCTTTTTATGATGACTTTAGACCATGCCAACCGTAAAAGATAAGTTAATTCAATCTAGCATACCATACAATAAAAAATTCTTTTTCCCCGTTGAGACGCGAACACCCCGAGACGAGATAACCTCGCCTCGGAATACCCCCATTGCTATGTTACAGGGGAATAGAGAGAAAAACAACCAGATGCGCGCGCCCGCCATTGCCCTATTTCAAGTGACCAATGAACGGGCCCGGAATAGTCATGCGGGGATTTGTAGGTCACATACATTTGCCACGAGAATGAGGAGAAAATGGCCGGTCTTCGTGCGAAGCCGCTTTGGATCGGGGGGTAGTCGTGCATTTATGATCGGGTCTAAACAACTACTTGACACAGAACGTTCAAATTTGAGCACACTATAGAGGATAGATAGGTCTATTACCATTTAGGCGTTGAAATTCAAACTCCTTATAGTTTTCGATGTACACGATACGAAAGTGTTCCCGACACCAAAAGTATAGGTTAATTTATATGTACGAACTTCAACGTCCACATATCATTAGTTTGCCTTATTTTCTGATTGGTTGCCGAGTTTCATTCGGATTGGTTCGGAAATAGAGCAGACCGAGGTTGACAAAGTTAGTCACCTACGCTTCGGCCGGGTCCGCAAAATCGCCCGTAAACGGGGACCAAATTTTCGCCGCGCGGGAAAGCCCGATTGGCATTGCTAAACAACTTTCTCAACTGGCAAGGTTTTATAATATGTTTAATTGGTCTGTGTGCTGTGCACAGCAGCAGCAATATTCCGTTACAACCGACTCGCGTGTCGTTCT